GGTTGACACCTCATGGAAGATTTCACACCTTGCTCTTGCTGAGAGCTTAGTGGGTCAATCATTTCTGGGGAGGCTTGCCCATTTCTACACAATCTTATTTAACAATGATTGGTAAAGTCCAAACTCTTTGGAAATAGTTGTGCAAACTTATCCAACCTGGTGAGTATGAACAACTGTTTTTCAGAGGTCCTTGGAAATTTCCTTTGTTTGGGACATGATACACTTCCACATACCTGTGTTATGAAGTTCAGACTTTGACATTGAATACCAAACATTCTGTTCTTTACAGAGAGGCAGGATCTCCCACATTTGCATTATCATCCCACTGGTTGAAACACATGATTCTAATTACCCTTTCAAATCAACTGATAATCTTAGAGGTTTATATACTTTTACCATGTGCAAAATATGTAGCTTTGGATCAATTTTTCCTCAATAAATGAGCAAGCATTTGTTTAACTGGATTTTCTACCTAGTTTTAGGATTTGTGAGAACAGATCATATTTTAGATCATAGTTATGCAGACACTTGAAAACTCAAAAGAATTCACAAAATTTCCAGCACCACTGCATATCACAGAAGTGGGTAGAGCCAGACTTTCTACATTTCCCAGATTTTGGGAGGTTACTAGATGTTTGTATTTGTATACGCACATAAACATATATAGGTTAAGGCTTGCTTGTTTGTTTCCTATCTCAACATAACTTGGAAATTAAAGATGCTGATTTTCAGTGATTGGGGTCAGAAGCAAGCCTATAAATTTCAAGGAGGTGCCTACGGACCTATGATCTTAGCTTGCCTATATATCTCTATCATTCCAGGCACTGAATCAAGTTTATTTCCCATTCTTACAAGTGATATACTTGTAAGTACTATCAAATGACCTCTACTATCTCTCTTATGGTAATATGATATAAAAATTCTGTTTTTTCCTGTTTCAGCAAAATGATTTATTATTGACTGGGAACTTAGTTTTATGAGAGACTGAAGGAATTGGATATGTTTAGTTTTGAGAAAAGACAATAGGGAATATGAAAATAATTTCTAACTATCAGGAGTATTACACAGAAGAAGCCCAAGAATCAATTATTAAGACAAGGCTGATCTTTGCTGAATGTGTCAAATTGCAGGGTGGGCAACTGTCTGTCAGGGAATGTGCTAAAGTAGTAGACTTGGCTGAAACAAACTATTCTAATGGCGCCTATGATTTATATGTATATCATCTTATCCTTTATTTTATTCAATTTATATAAATTATGATTTTATTTATACATATAAATTATGACTGAAAAAAGATTACTCTATTCCTTACTTCCACATAGCTGCTTTAACATTTGTAATAAATCACCTTCTATGCATGTGATCATTTTCACATTAGTGTATGTATATGTATGAGGGACCATTAATCACCTGCCCAACAGATTTAAAGCAGAGATTTTTCCTAGTCAGGCTATTTCAAATTCTATAATGAGATATTGAAAACTGTTGCTGAAATTTATACAGTTTACAGAATTATCCACTTTAACTGATAGGATTCCTCTAAAGTTGCTAGCTTCTACTTTTTTTTACAGATATGAATAAACTATTAGAGGAAGAAAAAACAACCTGTGGCCTCCAAAACATTTTAATGTTTGTGGGGAAAACAGGAGACCATCTTGAGCTAATATACATACACAGATTGACAAGGCAGAGACATTGGCAGGTTAAAAATAATAAAAGCCCCTGACTGCAGTTACTAAAAACTGATGGTGCATTTTTGAGGTAAGAAATGAAAACAGTAACACATTCCTTAAAATAGATTTTTTTTCATCTAATAACAGAACTCACCAAGGCACCTTCCTGAAATCTCACATCCACCAAAAGGCTATATATTTCCCATTTTAGATTATCATTCTATTTGCTGTAGTCCTTAATCCCTCTAAACAGCCTCCAGTTATCAAAGGATTTCCTAGTTGAGCTTTAAGGAATGGATTCTAACAACCAAGTGCTTCCTTTTCATTTCCGAGTTCAATGAAAACTATGCCCAAACAGAAAGCTTGCAAAAATAAGATAAATTGATAGAATACAGTCTGCCCATTTACTGTGGCTTGGTTTTTCAAGGACCATTTCATCGAGTTCACCATGTTGTCCAAGATGTCTTGGTGTAGAAGATAATATCTATTCAAGCTTGGTTTGGGAAGGGCTGAAGGACAGATAGAACTGAAAGAAAACTGCAAAACCACTAAAAACATCCACACGCTTCTTACTGTTGGAGCCAAATAGAAGCCCCTATCAGTGTGGCTGATCAGCCCTGGTTCTGGAGTTCGCTTGCACATGCCCAGGTTTCACGCTATTCCCTGACACGACGGGAGCCACTCTTTGAAACCCCTCCCGCCTGGTTCAATAGCGGCAGGAGAGGGGGAATTCGTAAGGCTTCCGTCAACCCACAGCCCCACCATCCCGTGGCCTCGACTGCGGATCGTTGGCCCGAGTCCCAGCACGACGCCCTGGTCGAATCTCTAAACAGTAAATGAATCAAACCAACTATGCCAAGTGCTAAGGCTGCTTCTCCCCCCGACCCCTCTCTCTCTGAGTAGACGTTTCTTTCTCGGCTCACCAAGAAGAGGGGAAGGGGTTGCCCCACCCTCTTTTCCTCAACACTAATTCTACCCACGCCCCCCTCTCCAAGCCGAATCCGCAGGCCGAGCGGCGTTTCCGACCTATTCCACCACGTGCCGCGACCCACCACTGCGCCTCCTCCCTTACTGTTCATCCTCCGAGCCCGCCTCTCCCGCAGATTCCCGCCAGGTCAAGGGGCGGGGAGGGGGGGCGAGGACACGGGTCCTCTCTGAACCGCCAGACCCCCTCCCCACGACAGAAGTTGTCAGCGCGCCATGTTGTATTCCCGTCACCCGGGCAACCCCAGAGCATCGAGCACCTCAACCCGGGAAAACGACCTAGCCCCACCCTCGCAGCTGCGCCGGCCTCTGACAGTGTGGCGCAAGCGCAGTTACTAACCTCCGCCCTCTCCTATTGACTGCGGCGGGCGAAGGGCAGGATTCATGTTTGCGGGCTTTCAGAATTGCGCATGCGGAATGTCAATTTACTCCTCGGCCGCCGGCTCCCAGCCCCTCTCGTCTTTGCGCATCCTCAATCGTTACGACTGTCTAAAGAGGGTCTGTAACAGTCGTCCCTCCCTTGCCGAGTTTGGGTGTTCAGTAGGGTATGGGTTTTTTTTGGTAGGGCGAAGTCTGCCATTGGCACTAGTTAAGGATGCAACAGAGTTGAATGTGTTTTTCCTGGGAATAAGCCCTGTTCCAGCCCCCCCCATTAAATAGTGAACTAGTCCACTATGTTTTAGTGTAGCGTGGCGTGGAAATCGAAACCGACTTTCTAATATCTCAACCAAGCTCCATTTTAGCCCATCATTTGGTGGATGGCAATGAAATGCCCGAGGGGGGGCGGTTTGTAGGAACTGATGTGGAGACATAAGTCTCCTGCACGTGTACTTCTGCATTTGGTATTTGCAGACCAGCATATGGCAGGAACCTTAGTTAATTCAGCATTCCTATTTTGTTATCCCTTTTGAGGTAAACTGTATTATGTAAAGTGCAGGAATGGTCAATGACAAAAGCATGAGGAAAAGCAGATTAAAACAGCGCAATCTAGTTCACACCAACAATTTACGTTGCTAAGCAAAGTGGTTAAGTGAATCACACCTGATTTTTTTTTTTTTTGCCATGGTTGTTAAGCAAATCACTGCAGTTAAGTAAATCACATGGTCAATAAGCAAGTCCAACTTCCCCCACTGACTTTGCTTGTTGGAAGTTGGTTGGTATTGTCACAAGTGTTGATAACGTGACCCTGGGATGCTAGTCATAGGTTATTTCATTGTAGAACCAGTATTGAACGGATATTAACTTTAATGTATTGTGTTATTGATTCACTTTGCTTCATATGCTGCACAAATGTGTAAAGAGAATTTTGAAAATTCAGCCTCTGAAACTGCTGCTAAAAAAATCAAACATTTGTGAAGAAACTAGCTATAAATTCTTTAGCATAAGACGAACCATAATAAATAAGAACTTTGATAGTATTGATAGCATTCTTTGCCAAAGAATCTGCTACTGTATATTTTCTTTTGCTCTGGTGTGGGATTTGTAGTCTGACAGAGAGATCAATAAGATAAATTATAGATATGAAACGCTGAGTTACATAACGGAAAAGAAAATTAAAAGAAAGCAAACTAAAAAGGTTATCCTGAACATATTGTTGAGATTTAATAACAAAGAAAGTAAAGTAGAGCATTTTAACAAGATGGCCGGTTAGCTCAGTTGGTTAGAGCGTGGTGCTAATAACGCCAAGGTCGCGGGTTCGATCCCCGTACGGGCCATCAGCGGGTCTTCACTTTTTCATTGAAATTCCAGTAATAAACTTCAAATGAATGCTTCACCCATGCCAAAGCCACTTGAATGGTATCATAAAATGATGTACGCATAAAGGTATCAGATTTTATTAAAATATAGTTGGGCATACATTTTTAATAATACATCTTTAAGAAAGGACCTGATATACCCCATAGAAGTCTTGTTTTGCTTTCAATTATGTTGATATTCCGTGAGCGGGGGGGGGTGGTGGTGGTGGCGGCTCGCGTTTAACCCTCTACCAGATTTCCTAATAGCTCTCCGTCAAAACGAGGAAATCAAAAGACGTCCGACTTTTAACCCCATGAAGTCCATAGGAACTGAATGGTGTTTATATCTTTAACTGTGCAGACTGGGTGCTGATTTGAGGTTTGGCAAATTCGCAAATTAAGCACCAGTCTTTGAGAAGGCAAGGAAAAGGCAACATTCAGATTCTTCTATCGACTGCTGAACTGAACTCCTTTCGGATCGGGAGACGCCGGACGACGCTTTCGGTTACGAGAGCAGATTTGTCCCCTGGCAGCTCCCACTGCAGCAGCGCTCGACTTCCTTCTCCGCCCCTCTCGTGACGTACCGCAGCGAGCACTCCCCCCCCGCTCCCCCTCTCCCGCAGCACCCGCTGTTCCGGAGTCCTCGATTCCTGAAGCGCGAGATGGGGCCTTCCCCTGCCGCGCTTGCCTCCTAAGATGTCTTCTCCGGGGTTCAGGAGCGACGCTGCTGCTGCGGCTACTGCCGCCTCTGCTGCTGAGGGCCTGGCACCAGGCCTTCCAGGCGAGAGGCTGTTGATGCCGGTCACTGAATTCCGCTGCGGGAAGCCGTATCGGGCGTCCGAGGCAGTGGCTGCAGGTGTCCCGGGAAAGCTACAAGATGAGGGGCTCCCTTCCCCGGTCGGAAAGGCGGCGGAGAGGGCCGAGGATCGCCGTCCCGCCGGGGCTGCCGTATTACCTCAAGGGCAAGGGACCGCTTGCCCCACTTCCCTCTTGCTGGCTCAGAGTTTCAGCTCGGCGGCTTCAGTCTCACCTTCGGGGTCTCAGCTGCCGACGGTCGGCACCCTCCAGAACCCGTCACAGCCGGGGCAGGATGGAGCTCAGGAGGTCGGATCCGAGACAGAGTCTCTTCCTTTGACGGGGACCCTTCTGTTCAAGGTAGAAGCCTGCGATCGAAATCGTAAACGGAGTCTTGTTTACGCGAATTGTGGATTGGCGTGATTTTTATCCCGCGTTCCTGGAGTCCTTCCTGTGCTTGTTTCTTGAACAGGCCTGTTATGTGGGGTCATAAAAAGACACATCTATCTCCCCTCTATTCTGCCCTTATCAGTTTCCACTTGCAACGCTATATCCAGTTCTGGATACCACATTTCAAAAACAATCGGGAACTGGAGTTCAGCGGAGGAGGGTGAGGGGCTGAATACCAAGTCCTTTCAGGAATGAATAAAGGAATTAAGCATGTTAATTTGCAAAAGAAACGACTGAGAAGGGATAACAATGATCAACAGGAACAGGGTAATAATGATCAAATATCTGAAGGGTCTATCACACAGAAGACAGGGGAGGACTTACTAGGTTAAAACTACAAGGGTGTAGGCTCAGGGTAGATATCAGGAAGTTCTTTGTTGAGTTCCCCAACAATGAATGGGCTAACATAAGAAGTTATAAGTTTTCTTTCATGGATGTCTTGAAACAAGCCCTCAGTGGTTATCTGTCAGAGGCGCCCTAATGCAGCATTTCCCATTCTGGACAATTTTGAGATGTGTGGACCAATTCTCAGAATTCTAATCATATTTACTGGGGAATTCAGGGAGTTGAAGTGCACATATTACAATGTTGTCTAAATTTGGAAATTCCGCACTAAATAGGAGCTGGACTAGATGACCCTCTAAGATTCCTTCCAAGTGTATGATTCTGCAGGCTCCTCTTCCTATTTGACATGTTTCATGTACTTTATTACTGAGCACTTGAAACTGAACTTATGAATAGGCTCTAATAGTGTCTAGCTAATTCAGTGTTCTACACTGGAAAGCCCACAGAGATTGAGTTCATTCACTACATTAAGTTACAATTTGGCATATTTGTTCTGGGTTGAATGTGATATGAACAATATGTAAACATAGCTTATTGAGCAAACTATAGTTAAAATTACTTATATCTGAGTGTGAGCTAGTCAATTGCTCTTTTGTTATTGCTCTTCAAAATTTATTACATGTCTCAATTTATAACCATTTATTTAGTGATCATTTGAAGTTACAAAGGCATTGAAAAAGTGACTTGTGACCATTTTCATACAACTGTTGCAGCATCCCCAGAATTACCTAATCACAATTTTGGCACTTGGCAACTGTCATGTATTTATGACAGTTGCATTAGTGATGTGATCACTACTTCCAACTTCTCAGCCAGCATTGAACAAGCAAAATAAATGGAGAAAGCTAGATTTGCTTAACAATCGCATGATTCACTTAATAACTGCAGTGTTTTGCTCAACAACTGTGAGAAAAAGGTTGTAAAATGGGGTAAAGCTCAATTAGTAGCTTGCCTTTGCAACAGAAGTTTTGGGGTCCATTTTGGTCATATGTCGAGGACAGTTGTCTGACAATGAAGATGAAATAATGTATGTTGGGGTGAAGAAAACTTCATTTTAAAAATGATTCATAACGTTTGTATTGTTTTTCATTGGATGTACAGTATCCTCCAAACCATATTAGATGCAAGTGTCACTGATTTCAGTGACTTGCAAGGTGCAGCTTTTCTCTATTTAATTTTATTTATGTCAGCAATTAAAATGTTGGATCTGGCTGTCTTGATCTGAATTCAGAAGCTCAGAAAGGTGGAAAACTACTTGCATGGGAAACCTCCAGGGAATATCAGGGCAATGGAGTACACTGAGAATAAAAAACAGCCATAGAGGAAGGCAGGGCAAACCACTTATATATTGCTGCCACAGATAGTCCTCGCTTAATGACCAGTCTCTTAGCAACCATTTCAAATTACAACAGCTACTGTTTTGAAATTCCAGCGGCTGCACACACAGCCCACAGTCACATGATTTTATTTTGGATGTTTGGGAACCAGCTCACATTTATTTATTTTCATGGCTGTTTGCAGTATCCTGCAGTCATGTGAGCACAATTTTCTACACCTTTTTACTGGTTTCTGGAAACAAACCCTCATTGATAAAAGGGTTCAGTTAACAACTGCTCTGTAGGCTTAACAAATGCAGCATTTACTTAGGAACCATCACGGAAAAAGTTCCTAACATCAGGCACAGTCATGTGGTGTCACTTAATGACCACAGCTTACAACCATAATTCCAGGCTCAATTAGGATCATAAGTTGAGGACTATGTGTACATGGATCTGTTCATGAATTCACCCAATGTTTAATCTGCAGCCTGCATGGGACTTTATTTAAAATGTCATAATTAGCAAGTTGTGATTTGTTTTGTTCCCAAAAAAGTTTCTATGTGTATAGGATCAAAATAAAAGTAATCAATATAATTGTAATTAGAAAATGTTTATGATCAAATCTTATTTACTTGATTGTTAATCTTTCCTCTCTTTTTTATAAAACAGTTGGAAACCAGTCATATCCAAGTAGAGTCTGATCAGATAAAAGAGAAGAAAAGTTTGGAATTATTTTCTGCAAGAGCTGTGTCTAAAAATATAGCTGGGTCTCAAGCAGTTGAGAAGAATTCTAAGCCTTTAGGACTCAGTGCCGTTAATCCTGAGATTTTTCAGATACAATCTTTTCCAAGAACTGGATCTCAACAATTTTTCTTATTTAATTCTTCTAAACCTACAGTTCAACTATTTCTTCCGCCCTCCCTACATCCCCTTGGACAAGTACCAGTAAGTAAAATAATTACACATGGACAGAAATCCATTACAAAAGGTAGGGAAGATTCTTCAAATGTTTCTTTGGTTTCAACTTGTTCAGCAAAAACCCTTGTAAATGAGGGGAAGCAGCCAAAAGAGCAAAAGATTAAAAAATCTTTGAAAGTGGCAACTCGTTCTGGGCGGATTTCTCGCCCTCCAAAATACAAAATTAAGGACTACAAATTTATTAAAACAGAAGACTTGGCTGATTGTCACCCATCTGATTCTGATGACTATTCTGAGCTGAGCTTAGAAGATGATGAATGCAACAAAGTAAAGGAAGTATGTGAATTATTTAACCCCTTAAACTATGACCTGCGACCAAAATTGTTTAAGTGTCAGAACTGTGAAAAATCCTACATAGGAAAAGGTGGATTATCAAGGCACTACAAAATAAATCCAGGCCATAGGCACCAAGAGTCTTCAGAATCTTCTCTTATAAATAGATTTTCTAGAATGACAGAGCTGGAGTGTGCTGAAAAGGCAAATTGTGAAAGCAACCATCAACCTTCTTCATCTTTACCAGTTACTTTACCAGGTGAACAGCAGGTAATACATATTCTTTGTTAAAGAAAATGAGCTCTAATCTGGTGCTATCATTTAAGAGTGATATCGCAGCCATTATTTAAAAAAACCCTGCTAAACCAATTAATAAAAGAAAATAGAAACAAGAGAATTAATAAAACAATATAATTGCAAAATAATCATACAGATAAAAGGGGGAAGAAATCTGGCTAATTATAAATATAACAATTCTAAAAAAAAGACTATTGCAGGATGCCATCTGTGTCAGACTCATGCTGCAGCCCATCTTCAGGGAATTTCTAGCTAGCTCAGAAAACTTGGAAGACAAAACCCCTGGTCCTGGTGGCCGACACAGATTGGATGCTGCAACATTATCCTGGGACACGGTTGTTTTCTTGTAGATGTGTCATTACCTAAACTAGGTAACATCATCAGTGCTAGTGATTTTGTGCTAGTATTGTTATCTAGTTTTGAGTAATGAAATGTCTGCAAGAAAACAACCAAGGTCAGAGAGCACAAGTACCCTTCCTTTGTTGAAATCCTCTTCCTCAGTGTTTTGTTAAAAAGAAAAAAAATGAATATTAACAATCCACTGCTGCAAATCACAAGTAGATTTCTTCTTCCTTCAATGTTGGGCTCCAAAAGCACATATCTTGATATCCAAATTCCAAATACTAAGAATATAACCAAGGAGCACAGGTATATCATGAATATACTTGCTGATTCAGAGTTATATTAACTTGGTATCAATTCAAAGTGTAGAATAGGATAAGTTTAAATCATAATTTAAATTTCCACTTCCTGGATCTCGAACAGAAGACTTAGTGGCTTAAACAAGTATCTTGAGGATCAGCCAGTTAAGGCACCAGGTAAGAAACAAGGAGACTGAGAGTTCTAGTCCAGTTTTAGACATGAAAGTGGGTGGGGTGACTTGGATCTGTCAATCTTTCTCAGCCAAACTCTCTTATAGGGTTGTTGTGTGAAAAATAGGAAGGAGCATTAGTATGTTTCTTCTTTGAGTTATTTATACAAATAATAAAGGTATAAAAAATTTTAAAAAAACACCCAGTGTTACTTATTGTGGTTGTCTGATGGTTTGGTCACTTGCAACTCTTCATGACTTAATGAACATCATTTGCCAGGATTGTTTATCAATAGCTGCTTCTTTGAGTTATATAATCTCTTCTGTGTTGTCATTGATAATATATAGGTAATCCTCAACAATTGGGACTAGCACACCTGAATGAATAAAAATGGATGTCTGCGAACTAAGATGCTAGATGAAATTGTTAAGAATCCCTTTGTCATAATAAAAGAAATAATTAAATATTAGATGAAACAAAATGAAATTTTCATTGGAAGCATTAACCACAAAGCTAAAGTTTAAATGTGCTGAATGCATAATGACTTCTTGGAAAAGTCCCTGAAGTTTGCAAAACCAAAGGCAATTAAACAATCAGAAGACGAAGTAGCTATTCAAGTAGTCCTGGACAGAGTAAAACAATTCACTTAACAATCACAACTGGAAGAGCTCTTCCAGTTGCAGTTGTTAAGTGATTAGGCAGGTCGTTAAGTGGAGTGCCAGGGTGAAGGGTGCTTTCTCTGCCCCCCCCCACCCCCAGATCCACTTAGTCTTGACTTTTTCTGTAATTGCAGATACATCCAACTGATATGAGGCATGGTCTTCCTACCAAGGCCACCTTATGCCATCTTACTAGCAGCCCCCATTCTCCATACCTTTCTAAGCATATCTATATCTTTGTAACTCAGATTTTCTAACTGCAAGCAGCTTGCTTCTCCACTACAAGCAGCTTGCTTTCTAACTTTCTTTCAGAATAGTGCTGTTCGCTAGATTTCTAGCCTGAGAAATGAGATGAAATCCCCTAGTGCCATGATGGAAGAGACCTCAAATCCTTACAACTTACTGGCTTCTCCACTGAATTTCTAGGGAAGCTGTCGGAAAAGATTGCAAAAAGTGATCACATGATTGCGGGCACTTGGCAACTAATCATAAATGTGAGTCAGCTGCCAAGCACAGCAACGCGCAGTGCTGGAGCAAACTTTTATGAAAGCCAGAATTGCTTTACTTTGCTTTACTTTGAAGAGTTGCTAAATAGCTGGTCATAAGTCCAGGACTACCTGTATAACTACTTTGCCTTCTGTTGACTTGTTTAATTGTCTTCAGTTTTGTTAAACAACAGTGACTTTTCTAACAAGTCATTTTGCACCCAGAACATTTAAACTTTAGCTTTGTGGTTAATGCTTCCAATGAAAATTTCATTTTGTTTCATCTAGTACTTAATTATTTCTTTTCTAATGGCTGAAGGGATTCTTGACAATTTCCTCCAGCATCTTAGTTCAAAAATATGCATTTTTGTTCATTCACGCACGCTAATGGTCCAGCTGTCATGTGTTAGCCTTGGAAAAACCATAATCTTGATAATACTTTTGTTGTCTGCGTGCTATTTCTGCACTTTAATATTTTGTCTAGAGCTATTTCATAATCTTTTCACTGTGGCAAATATGTATGTCATCGGCGCGTCACCATCCCTATGAATTGTTGAGGCTAAGAAGAAAAGTCTGTTACAATTTAGCCTCTCAGCCTATTTGTACTGGGTTGGCTTTGCCTATTGACTTTTCTTTTTTCTTTGCTCCCACCATTTATGTCCACATACTGAATCTCAATTTTACAAAGAGCAGGACATCTTGTTTCTTTTTTTTAGTGCTGAGCAGCAGATCAGCAATTGTTTTTTCTTCTTTCACCTTCAAATAGATTCCTTTAGTTTTCCTCACTACCAGGTATTAAATGTTATTATTCATAGTTTGTTTAACATACACAAGGGCCTTAAATTATTCTAATCTAAAGTTAGGAAGCATGAGGAGAAAGGAGTAGTATTTATTCTATGCGGTGTGGCAGGAAGCATTGATGGCTATTGCTTTCATAATCATCTTAAATGTCAAATATAAAATAAAAATCTATAGATTACCACTTCACAATTTGAAAAAGTTTGTAATTTTATTGCTGTCAGCATATTTGCTTTTTACAATACTATATTTCAACATTTTTTATCCATATCATTATTTTTTTGTTGTTTCAAAAAATGCCTTTGCTATCTTTGAAAGGTTTTAACTACCTTTTATATGGTGACAATGCAGATTTGTTACTATAATTTCAGACTGAATGAATATATAAAAGCAAAACATTTTAAACAATTCTAATGAACATTTTTGAAGTCTGATATTTCTGCAGAAGACAGAAAATCTGAAGAACCGTACAGCACCCATTTGGGGCCTGGAAGAAGAAAACGGCAGAGAAGATCTTATCAACCAAAGATGGCTAATAGATCAAGATATTCTACAACATTCAGCAGATCTGGTCAATTATCTTCCAATTCTTTCAATAGTATCTCAGCAGAGAATCTTAATACATTTAAAAGAAAAGCTAAGCTAAAAGAGGTACTGTTCCTATATTATTACTTATTCTTATTTATCTACACTTTATAACTTTTCTAAATAAAATATGTTCTTTAATAGCTGATTCAGCAGTGTCCCAACGAAGAGTTTATGGAGTTGGTGATTCCACGTCTGACAACAGTTGTTACTGTATTTGAATTCCTACTGATGAAGGCAAGTCTTTGAAAGTTGGTATTTTACACAAAACCATATTTTCGAGCAAGTAGAAAGAGTTTGATCTATTGACAGCAAGGCAAGTGTGATTCTACCTAAGACAAAATGAGATTTCCAAGGAAAGATTCAAAGAATCTGCTAAGTAGTATTAGAAAAGTATATATGTATAATCAGCTGAAGCCAGCTCCATTATAACAGAAATGGAAAAGAAATAAAAGATTGTAAATGAAATATGCAATTAATTTTTATTTGTGAGCTTCCTTATATTTTTATGTAGCTTTTATTTTTGATCAGGCAGAGAAAAAATGTCGAACAAAAGCAGTCTTTCCAGATGTTTACCGGGAGTTTGAAGAGCTCCATTCAATGGTAAAGAAAATGAGTCAAGATTATTTTAATAATTCTGAATTAAAGCAACAATTAGAAATAAAAAACCACAAGGTAAGAATAATTTGGATTTTTTCTATTAGCAAAAGTTTTTTCAATCAAATTATGTGTAGATAAAATGGATACTGCACTTCTTTAAAAAAGAAAATGAAAATACTTGCAATGTGGTTTATTGAAATGAATGATAAAAATAAGAGCAATGAGATTGGCAAAGTTGTTTTGATCAAATTACTCTATATATTCATTCTTTCATCTTCACATAAACTCTGCTTGATTAATATTCTGTTTCTATAATGACCCATCAAATGGTTATAAAGAAAATAAGCAGGATATGAATACAATAACTTGTCCCAATGTAATCTCTGCAAATTGATCTGCTTAAATAAAACAAATAGAATGAACACTTATTATTTTGTTTTGCTATGCTGAACTAACCAACAACGTAAGAATAAAAACATAAAAGATCAAGACAACCTCAAAACTTTCTCACATAAACAACACTAAAAATGAAGGTTATTGCTCAAAGGTTTTTCCTTGCCCCTTTTTAGAGGAATTCAAGCATTGACAAACAATACATAGTATATATGTTGGTCAATCAGGTATACATTTCTCCTTCCATTATTATATAATAATTCTTTTAGTCAAACCAAAACACTAATCTTAACCCACAGTTCTTGATATTTTGTTTAATTCTAAAAATTTGGAAATGTAGGAGAAAAGATACATGAATATCACATAAAGCATTCTGGAAGGATTATTTTTGAAATGAGTGAAGCAGGTGTTATGACAAACTTAATTACTCAACTTGGATTGTCGTTTATTAGTAAGATGCTTGATAAGCCCTGAGTAAATCATTGCATTAGATTTTAGAAAAAGTGTGAAGTCTTTAGCATATAACAAACAGAAATGACTGGTTATTTTCTATGGATGACATTTTCAGTGAAGTTTTTCTTTTTCGTGTTTAAAGCTAGCTGAATCACTAGGAATTACAGATAGTTGTCTTGAAGTGCCAAAAATCCAGACAAATTCTTTTCCTGAATGTACTGAATCTACTGATGACCGTATATTGCTCCATATTTCAGGACAGAAATGAGCAGCTGAGGTATAAAATAAACAATTTTTGTTATGTTATCATAAAATTATAAGCATGATGCTTTTATTTTTTTATAAATTTATCTTCTACTAAGTATCAGAAATGAATTGAACATCATTTATTTTTTTGCAAAATTTGAACTTTGCCTATATTAAAAGGGTATATTTTATTACATTGCATTGCTCCTTAATGTTCTCTTAATAATAGAATTAGTATAACAGTGTGTCCTTTGAATGAGCTAGGGTGTGAATAATCACTTGCTTTGGATTACAGTTATTCTGATTCCTGCCATTGACATTTTAGTTGCAGGTAATGGCAACTGTAGTCAACAGTAGGTGTAAGAGCATTATCTACTCCTGTCTGTGTTTTGTTTTGTCTAATGTATTTCAGCTGGAGTAAAAAATATTGAACTTTTGCAAAACACTATAAGTTTTAAAAATTCATTTTTATTCTTATCTGCCAAATGAGATTATGCAATAGTTTTCATCCCTAAATTTTGAGGTTTTTTTGTATTCAAGAGTAAATCAACATTTACTGATATTGAAAATGTGTGTTAATGAGGTTATTTTCCCTCATCTGTATTAACAGAGTTTAAATGAAAAGTTCTCAAAAAAAGACGAGAGAGGAAAACATTTTTGAGAAAATTAATATTGAACATTCAAATTAAGGAAGAATAAAGGAATAAAATCAAGATGAACTTTATAAAATTGTTTTATCTTCATAAAATGAGGTGCAAATAGTTAAAAGGGTAGAAGAATATCATATGGCTACAAGTTAATCTCATTTAGCAACCTTTAACTCTGTGGTTAAACAATTGCTAAGTGAAACTGATTGTGTTTATGGTTTTACTTCAGCTTTTCTTTGCTCTATAGTTCTGCGAAAATCATCAATGCTTACTTTATGAACATTGTAACTGCATATGGTCACTAAATGATAGAAATATTTGATTTGCCTGAAAGCTAGTATAGCTTTTTAATTGGGAGCCTCTCAGAGTTGATTATAAGATGGGCAGCTACATAAATGTTTTAAATTATCAGTTATTTTTTTTAAAATTCATGGTTTATACTGAGTGCTGTTTTGTTACAGATGTTTTTTAAAGTGTAATGTTTACCATGTTTCTTGATAGAGAATGGAACCTTTGCCCAGGGCTTTTACATGGAAGAGGTATCATTAATATTAACAAATAGAGTCAGCTGCAGGCATGGATGGGGCACTAGAAAGTTGCCCATGTGATTTTTTTTCTCCTATATGGAAATACATTATTCCATTCCTTCATTTATTATTTGCCTACCTCTACTTTCTTATTTTACTACCAACCGGAAAATAGTCTGCAGTTGCTTATTCATGCTTTTGAGAATAGATGGGCATTTCCATTCCAAATATTATATGAGAAACCGTTCTTTAAGACCTTTGGCCTCTAGGATAGAATTCAATCAGGCACAGTAGAATATAGATGAAATGAAAATTACAACCCTATGTTTTATGCATGCAAAACACACTTTATATCCTAGCACTATGACAAAGTCAAGTGCAAAAATTCCTGGGAGGCCGTTTGAGGGCAAATTATTTTTAAATAAAATAAACAGATGGAGAGATGCTGGAAATATCTTATGAAGTCTTGTTATATTTGGGCAGACGTTTTCCACTACTATAGCCAACAGCTTTGTACAGCTTTGAGATTAGTTAGTGATTACAATTGCTACTTCATACATTTACCATTTACTTTACACACCTTTTTCATTTTAGCAAATATTCACATTTTTCAATAAAAATACCAAATTTTATGCACAGTGAAAGAAATCTTATCTTGCAGTGTTCTATATTCAAAAAGCTATATAGATTATTCTTTAAAACATATTTAAATTACAATATTTTTGTGTTTTCTTACATTTTAGAAATGTGCAGCAAAGATGTTCTGCAAGAATATGGAAAAAAAGAATATGAATTGCTCCAACCAAGAATTGTAGATGATAAAGCAAATACAGATTTATGCGATCAACACTCTCAAGAAAAATTGAACATTTACAGCCTGTAAATATACCAGGATTAGATTATTTGAGATGCCCAACTGATAATAGTTAACAAGAAGAACAAAGATAAATTCAAGTTGGGACACAGTAAATGAAATGACTTATTATATCTTTTGAAACATCTGAAAAATACAGTCATCATTATTCCTTGGTTTCTTCATGAAAAAACAGTAAAATATATCAAGAACTTAAGAAAAAATGCTTTCTGTAAACAAATTCTGAACTTTCTTAAACTTTAATAGTTTCAACAATATTAAACATCCCAGGAACAGTTCATCAGTTTAGATCTCAGGAAATCGAAAGGACTAGCTTCATCCTTCCTTGAAAATATATGATTAATTAATTTAATAGTGGAAGTATTTTAGTGGAAAAAAACAAGAATATATTAAGTACAACATAATGTTGAAGATTATGGAAACTAGGAACTTTTCTTGTGGGTATATATAGGCTTTGCTTCTTCCTGTTGCTACATGTTATACATCTGTTTGTGAAAGAATTTGCTGCTGCTATGTATATTTCTAAAAATTCTTTGGAAGTTGTAGTACTTCTAACAGTGATACTAAACTTAAGCCTTTATAAAAATATTTTTGAAACAGTTTTGAAAGTCTACCTGAAATGTATATTAAATATGATTTTTTTTTAGTTTCACAAGCTTGTCCATATTTAACATATACCACAAGTTCTAACATATACCACACGTTTAGGTGTTACTTCCCCAGAATGATAATCTTCCTCCCCTTTTGCTAATCTGGTCCTAATAATATTGTCTTCTCTTTAGGTATTCGGGAGCAGGTTGTCTTTTTCTAACTATGATGCCAATATGATAAAACATGCATTGGGATGCTACCATGCAAGCTTTATGCTTTTGTACTTGCATTGCCATATTGCCCACAATTAGAGTTTGCATCATATCACAATGCTCTTTTGTCACTTTGTCCCTGCTTGCACATGCTTTTGTCTACATAAGAGAAGATGTATTGCTTCCTAAGAGTCAATATTCTCATAATGGCTGAATGAGTCAATTGTGCAGGAAAGCTATCAGCACCTAAAATACAATCTTAATGAGGGGCTTAATCAGTGATACTATAGGGAGTTAATAGAAAATGAATTTCTCCTAAGAGATAAATATATTGCACCAATTGCTATGGATATATTAATGCTTGACTACCTAAGGTATCATATAAATTTAAGGACAGCTGCCAGAATTCCTTTAAAAATTAACATTTAAATTCTTGTGTATGCTATCCTGAATAAACTTGAAAAAAAGTGCTTTACACATTGCTGTTTCTATCAGATTTCCAATTCAATTTTACCTTTTTAAAATGTAGAAAAGCTATTTGAGATTTAAAGTGCTACAGATTGTTCTTGATATTGAATCATTTTAATGTTTTAAAACATCACCTATTCTAGGATAATAAACAGATAATCAAGGTTTTCCTACACACACACCCACATCTATAAATGGCTTGTTTAAAAGTAAAAAATCATCTATTTCACATTTTCAGATGTGCCCTATTCTATATACTTGCAATTGTAAAATATATTGTTAATTTTCCCTAATCCAAGTTACACTGAAAATATTTTTAATCCATAATACCTAGGCTCTCAAGTATTTGGAAGTGAAGATTATGACATAAAGCAATATTATTAAAAAATGAAAAGTTTATATCATGCTTTATGGGAGTTTTAAAGCCTAAATTAAATTACGTTTGGTGAAGTTTGTGAGGCATATCCACTGATAGACTACATTTGCACTTAATAACACATGTTTTCATGTCCATATCTACTCTTCCTAGAAAAGGAAAAATATGGGGAGCTTCTGGAAGTGTTTTTTAAAAAAATATATTGGTTAAACTAGGGACTTAGCTTGTTTCTGGAACAAGTCAGGACTCCTTAATTGCACTGAATATTAAACTAGCTATGAGGATGATGTCTGCAGTTTGTTAGCATACCTGATTGAAGAAGAGCCAGTTTATTATGCATCTTGATAAGCCTTAACTGAGTTTAGTATGTTATGTACATGATCTTTTATATCCCAGGCAAAAACCTAAGCAACAGCCCCTTAAAAAAAATAACATGGAATAATCCACACAAAGGTGATTTGGAAATGACTAAGTGTGCTATAATGCAGGGCTTTTCAACCAGTGGTACGGGTACCACCTGTGGTACATTGGCACCTGGCAGGTGGTACGCAACCATCCTAGAAAAGTGGTAGCCGGGGAAGGGAATGAGCTGAACCGGTGGCAGCACCGCAGAAGCCTGAGTGAGAGATGGCTGGAGCTGCAGGGCTCAGCAGAAGTGCCAGGATCAGTGCTGCTTTCCAGCTGATAGGCGCTTCTTCAGGGCTGTCAGGGCTCAGTGGAAGCACCAGGATCAGTGCTGAGCTCCAGCTGGAGCTCAGCGCTGATCCTGGTGCTTCTGTTGAGCCCTGAAGAAGCACCAATCAGCTGGAATATTGCAGCATCTCCAGGGTCTTGTGATTTACATTCAGATGCTTGGCAACTGATTCATATTTATGATGGTCAGTGTCTCAGGGTCATGTGAAGTGACCAAAACCTGATGCAACCACTCAGCAGATGGAGGGAATAAAAACCAAATACCCCCCCTCCCCACCCCTGCTGCCAATCCTCAACAGAAATGCTCACAACAATGAAAACCTCGGACAGGAGGAAGAGCGCTGCCAGGTGGGCAGGCAGGTGTCTTGCTCGGCTGTGGCTTGGGGAGCACTTTTTCAGTGCCATTGTAACTTTGAACAGTCACTAAGCAAACTGTTGTAAGTCGAGGACTACCTGTACTTTATCACTTTTTTCCCTTTTTTGGGGGGGGGTCATCAAGTTTTTGACACCTTGCTAGGTGACTGGTGGTACTTGGATATTGCCATATCCTAAAAGGGGTACAATGGGGGAAAAGGTTGAAAAGCCCTGCTATAATTCATCATATCACATAATAGCAACTCCAAACAAGTTAGGGAAAGTATATACAGCATAGTTCTTGAATTCTTTCCAAGTACTATAGCAGTGACTATAAGAAGTATCTGTTTATTTTTTTTATGTAACATTAGTAATTCATAGTATCAGTACCTGGGGTATAGGGTGAAAGGATTAGATGCACCATTCCCTCTCCCTTTTCCCATAAGGAAGCATTGGGGATTTTTTGCTAGAATTATTTTCTTTGTAAATTCCATGCCAGATTTGGCCCATTTTTGGACATCATCTTTATTTGGCTGGAATTTCTTATTATGGCAAATTTGTCCCCATTCTCTTCAGTTGTTTGAGAGTCATCCTGCTGACAAAGTTCTGATTTCCTTAACGTAATCTTTCCAACATTTTGTTGGGATGGAAGAAGTCAAAACAGAGAATATAAATACAATATGAACAGATACTGAACAGTTACATACTAGGATACTATTATAAGAGAGTTTCATCTGGTAACTATGTTGCCGAAAATGGAAGGGAACTGTGCTGATCTTGCTAGGTTTTTGTAATTTTTTTTATGATGACTTGAACACTCACATGTTAAATAACTACCCTATTCAGGAATTGTTCTGTTTTGGCATATTTGTAAATCTGATGTGCACAATCTGAAGTTTTTACTCTATTGCTTGTTTTCTTGTATTAATCACAAAGCGTCATAAGTTATATGCCAGTAGTAATGTTTAATCAAGGTATGAGTCTGAAAGTAGAGAAACTATATCTTCTGCACATTGTGTATATTTATGTACAATATATATAATTATGCAGGTTTATTTTCATATAAGTGGAGAAGTGTACAAGATTGTAGATTTTCCTTGATACCTTTTATCCAGTTTGAGGAGATCGAGGAAACTACTCCCACATATTGATATGTTATAAATATTAGGGAAGATTAAATTACTTAGATATCACTAATTTTCTGACAGCTCAGTTACATACCCAGATAAACTATACATTATTCTGAAAATAACCATGTTGCTCATAATATATTTCAAAATAGAATGAAACTGTGCTTTGTGATATATGGAACAAAAAGCAGCTTTATAAATCATAAAAATGCAAGAATTTTATTACAAATAAGCTGCAAATAAAAGTGTAATAAAATATAAATCCATAACAATATTAGCACTATATCTCTTGCTACTTAAAGGTTTAAGGTGATATATGAAATAAATAGGTAAAGTTATAACTGCCTGTGCCCTGTTTCTAACAACATACTTTCTAATAAAACAATGTTGCTGTTGTCAATGTAGGGCTGATATAACCATGATGATAAATAGACCATCAGTAGATCTTGGTCAGCAGTATGAGCAATTTCTTCCACAATAGTGTGCTTGAGTTTTAGTTCCTGCGAATACATATCTAAGAGCTTGAGGGAGATATCATCTGAAAAAGAAATCAAAAGAAATGGTCCTGTATTGTCTTTCATATCCTATTTTTGTGACACATTTCTCAGCATCCTGCAACACAGTACTTGCATAAAATTTGGCTGATCTTGGAATCTAAAGTAGATCAGACATGATTAGCACTTGAATCTTATTACTGCCAAGAAAACAGTATGCCTATGAATTTACTAGACATTCACCTCAATACATAACAATTTAGTTTTAAACCTTACAATATTAATTATTGAATAGAAAAACTGTAAATTCTGAATTTTTTTGCAAGGTTTTATACAACTGATAATTTTGGTTTAAACTGTAGGATACATCTATTTCAATTTACAAGATAGAATCTTGAAAATGGCAGTTATTAGATGAAATATTCTCCCGACATAACTAAAGTTCAACCAATCTGAATACATTTAATTACTCATCAGAGATCAGCAAGGCATTTAACCTTGTCCCAGTGACTAGGTTAACTGGACTATTAGATAATTAAGAAGGGGAAGCCCAAGAAGAAGGTAAGAGTGCAAAGGAGATGAATAAAGTTGGTATGTCCAACAAAGCATAATTAAAGGAACTGGATTTATTCTCTTTGGTGCCTGAAGTAAGACAAGAACAAACAGGTGGAACCTTAACAGAGAGAGAGAAATGATGAATTTCCTGATTGTGAGAGCTTTAGAACTGGAATAGTTTGTTTTGTAAAGCTCTGTGTGCTCCATCACTGGAGGCTTTCAAGAAAAGACTGAACTGCCATTTATCTGGAATGGTGTAAGAATTCCTGCATGGGGTAATAGGCTGGACTAGATCAGGAGTCCCCAATCTGTGGGCCGCAGCACACTACCGGTTCATGGCCTATTTGTAACCAGGCCGTGTGAATGGCTGGCTAGTGTGTGGGCGCAGCCTTACTCAGGCAAGCTTGCGAGCGCTCGTGGCCCCACTCATGTGAGGGTTGCAGGTGCTCGGGATCTCGTGCAAGTGTTGCAGGTGCTCACGGCCCCACTCAAATGAACACTTGGGACCTCACTTACATGAACGCTCAGGGCCTCACTTGTGCGAGTGTCACAAGCACTGGGACCTCATGCTGAAAAAAGTGAAGACAGCAAAATGAATAAAGTATAGAACATTTTCCCTAATGAAAGGATTAGAATGTCTTTAGCTTGCAATAAGGCAACTGAGAGGGAAAAGAGGGATATAAAACTGCAAATGTAGACAAGTTGATAAGGAAATGCAACCAAAAATCATCCAATGAAGCTAACCAGGAAGAGATTTGGACATTTGTTTTTTACATGTGACTAAAAAGATCTGATAAATTTATGAAGGACATGTTTCAAGGGCTACTGACTCATTGTTATCATTTTCAAATAAACTGTCCTCAACAAAAAGACAGATTTACTTACAGAAATAGAAAACAGGCCATGTGTGAAATAATGGTGCCTTGGGTTCTCCTGCATGATGGTATGTTTCTAGATCACAGACCCCTTTAGTTGTTGAACACAATTTTTCCATTTTCTCATGTATTTTAGCCTAGCAAAATTGAGAACAAGACTCAACATTTTAGAAGCTAAAGTTCAGTAAACATTTTTTTAATAAATTTTATTAAATAACAAAAAAAGAAAAAGTTGAAAAACATTGAACATGGTAAATCAGACTTGACCAACATCTCAGTTCATTCCTATTCATAATTAATTAAACTCTATACAATAACATCACTCTAAACTCAATCTTAACTTATCTCATCACAGTGACCTCCAAATTTTTCCCCCACCATTTATAAAATAAGTTCAGTAAACATTTTGAGCCAAATTGCTTGAACACTAATTTTAGCAGTTAAGAAATTTTGAAAAGAGGGTCACAGACAAGGTAAGCAATAGTGATAAAGCATATTTGGCACCCCTGAGTTAATATGCATAGTACAGATTCATTTAAAATCTGGCTTATATGCTTTACATCTTTATGTTTTCATGTTAAAGGTTGCTATCTTGATTAGGCTTGATATAATAATTAAAAGATAATATGACAATTTGCTGCAGATATGCTTCTGTTGACTAGTCAATAGAGAAATGCTTCTCAGCAGATTTTTGTAAGAAGTACCAAATTTTTAAAAGTCCCAAGTAGTTCCGTACAGCACTGCTCCAGTTCCATGTTATAATTAAGTGACAGTCTTTCATGGTCAGAGGGATCCTCATGTTCTATCTCCAATTTGCTGTCTTTAAACCTAATAAATAATTTAAAAAATCATTTAGTATTTAAGAAAAAATGCTTTTACTATCTCTCATCTTACTGTCTAATTCTAACAGAGAATCATCTTTGTTTAACATAATCTCTTTAAACCTCTGAATGCATCACATGACCATTTTTTTAAAAAAAATCCAGTTTAAATGAAATAAAAATGAGTTTTGCACAAAGAATATTGATAAATTAGTTCAATGTACTTACTGTGTAGCATTTTTGATGTTCACAATCTTGGTAGCAATAGAAAATCCATTATCATTCAAGGTTTCCCATTTCATCATTAGGTTGTGCCAATCTGCTGCATTATCTTTAATTTTTCTTGCACTTATGGGCAATACAGGTGTCCTAGGAGTAGTGCTACTAGCTTATCAAAAGACAAAATTAAAATAATTTAAATCATAATAACTCACTCAGTTGACTTTATTACTATTATTTCTATTTTTAAAAGATCTACTTCTAAGATCTTTTAAAGATCTTGAATTGTTTAAATTTTAAAAAACTAATCTTTCCTGTCATATATGGACCACACTATCTGAAGTATATGTCAATAGAAAACAGGTTTAAATGTTGTCTGGACAAAATAAATATGCAAAACCTGGAAGAAGCAGATAACATTTTCCACATTAGGCATGCTTTCTGTCACATCCTGGTCTTTTCCTTGTGCCCAGATGTAGACCATAAATCTGGTTTACAAAAGCACAATTGGTCCATTTACATAAGCAAACAACTCATACAACAATTTAATGTGGTAACTGGTTCCCACAATTTAATACAAAAGGGTGGCTCCTACTACTGGTTGAGCTACAAACTAAAACTATTTTTAAAAATCTCATTAGTTCTGTTCTTGGGGATTGAAGGAGATATCCACTAAGATTTCTCAGCAACGATATGGTATTTCTGGTAGTTTTCTAACCAAATTTCTATTCCCGGTCTTGCTTTGGGTTTTCAGTTACCACATTAAATTGTTGTATGAATTGTTTGCTTGTGTAAACTGACCAATTGTGCTTTTGTAAACCAGATTTATAGTCTACATCTGGGCACAAGGAAAAGACCAGGATGTGACAGGATGTGCCGCCTACCTAGACAACCACAACCCACTCCACCGTATTTAAGTTTTGCCTCGCTCGCTGTTAAGAACCTATCCTAAGAATCTCCAACGCTGGATCTTTCCCGCGCGTTCAGTCAATTGACCTCGTACCACAAAGTCAGACCGAAAGGGTCGCCTGACTAGATTTTCTTTCTTTTCAGTGGGTTTCAATCCGCGTCAACAGAGGCGCGCAGAAACATTGCCACCCGGCCTCTAGTTACTCCATTCACCCGCCCCCATTAAACAGAAAGCCCTCCCCGCTCAAAAACATGACGTTCTTAGCCGCGGTCCAGCGAAGAAGTGAGAAACCCTCCCCGCCACCACCTGCCTCACTCAGAAAACTCACCAGCCATCTCCCTCCTCGCCCAGCGACCCTCTTCCTAAATCCCACCTCTCGGAAGTGCGCTCACGTCCGGCCCCGCCTGGCTAAGATGCTCCTCGTCGGCTGTGATCGCTGGCGCTGGGTTTGTTTTCCCAGCGTAGCCAGGCCTGGGAGGGAGCGACTACCGCTTCCCTGTTGATCATGAGGGGCTCCGGGTCCTACTGAGGTAGGGAGTTTGCGGCCTAGTCAGGCGAGGCGGGCGGGGAGCGCTGGGTTTCCAAGGGCCATGTTGCTAAGATCTGGGGGCTAATGTCTCGAAAGAATTGCTGCCTGGCTGTGCTCTGCTCTCTGCTCTCGTTAGTGGAGGAGAGGGGGGCGAGTTGCCAGTCTTCTTCCCTCTCCCTTAACTTCTGAAGAAAAAGATGCTGAGGCGGAACTAGCTGGTGCAAATCTGGTTCCCCTTTAAATGGCTTGTATGCTTGCTGTGGTCGCTGACAGTCATCTGCACTTGCTCAAAAGAATGAAATTGGGTTAGCTCTCTGTTAGAGACTTGACATTAAAAACGCGTGGAAGCGGATTCTGCCAGCTGTAACTAAAACTAAACTATGTTTTGCTGCCCTATTCTGGAAATGCCTCTCAAAAGCACCCGTCAGGTGCTGATGAAAATTGGGGGTTCAACACTTTTTGGTTTCAGAAAAGTGTCCATTGAATTGATGGATTTCCCCTCCATTTTAGCTCCTGCCTTTCAAAACCATCTGTTTCAAAACCATCTGCCTTTCAAAATCATCTGTTTACTATGTTTACTAATATATTATTGTCTCCTTGTAGACCATTTCCCACTGACCTAAAGTTCTGGAAGGATATATAGCTCACTGCCCCACTAAGATCTTGCATTCCACATTTTGTGAAAAATCTGTACAACCAAAATACTGAAGTGAATGGAGTTAAAAGTGAATGGAGAGGAGCTAAATTATTGAAAAGTTTGTTGACAATGGTTCCTTTTTTATATAAGTTGTGGTCCTACATTTTTAATAAAATTGCATTCTTAAGTATAAAAAAACTTCAATATATGAAAATTAAAACTCTTGTTTTGCACACAATTTGTGTATTTCTTTAGAGCTGTCCTATTTCCTTGTGAATAGGTATTGAAATTTCATCAGTTATTAAAGTTTTCAGGGAAAATTACAGTTGCGGGACTTCTTGCTGCTGAGCACTCTGGCAAATTATTAAGGAGAGGTACACATAAATATTTTAGATCCATTGAATAAACTATCTACTTTGGAGGAAGTTGAAAGGAAAATCTGCTGAAGCGAAATATTGTACTTTAGAGGAACTGGACTTAGAAGATCAGCCCTTTCTCTCAGCCCTAGGAAGGAGGCAATGGCAAGCTAGTTTTGAAAAAAAAACTTTGTCAGGAAAACTGCAGGAACTTTAGCAGGCAGTCTCTGAATTGGACAAAATTTAACGGAAGAAAAAATAAGTTACCTTACTTGAAACTATATAAAGTAGTTCTGTTAATTACTGTATATCCTTTTAAATTCATCTGTTTTCCTAATGATAAGAAATCCTGAAATACATTTAATTCCTAAACCAGAAGAGGAATAAACTGTTTATTAAATCTTATAATCCATATTGCATGAGGTGACTGTCAAATGAAAATGCATTATATTAGCGTGCAAATATGTACAGTGAGATATGTTGCCTTTTCACTTTCATATTTTTATAATGGATATTCAAAATATACACATACATACATACATGTATGTATGTATAAAATGAGGTTCATCAATGTTCTGGAGTTCTCCAAAAAGTTTCATTTCCAATACTGATAGTTTTGCACATCTCTAGAATTCTATTATATGGATTCTACAAATGGGTATCTTTTTCTATTACCTCTCACTGCAAGCCAACAACAATGAAATATTTTAACTAAACATTCACATTGTTCTTTGGGGGGTAGAATTGATAACTCTGGTAATTTCTTAAATAAACAGAATGGCTCATTTGGTGCACAACATTAAATGTTCCATCTTTGTAATGGGGCAACAGTTTGGACAATTCTGCACAAATATGTGCAGTTTTGTGCAGAAGAAATATGTTTAAATATATGTAAATAAGTTTACCTCATCTCATACTTTTCTTTCATTGTGCTTCTGAGGTGAAATTCAGAAAACTTCTGCTTCTGTTTTCAATTATTTTCAGTTTGGCATTACATTTGAATTCTAAACTGTGAAGGAATCCACTATCATAATAGTTATAACTAATCCAACGTGCCTGACATAATAATTAAATGTGAAAGATTCTTTTCTTCTCCCTAGGATTGTGCCAGAGGAGACGAAAAGACTGATCAGCTTAAGGTTCATTCACATAATGCTGAACAATATTTAAGTTGAACAACTTTATATAACCCAGATTATATAGTTAATAAGGTTAATATTATATCCAAAAGCCAAAATTTAAAACCATAATGGATGGTTTAATATATTTTACTCAGCAATAGTATGGTATGTCTGATGTATGAATAAAGAAACAAAGACAAATTAAACAATTATAACTTTGAATCATCTCAGGCATCAATTATCTTAGATTAAAAATAAACAAGGTAGATACCTTAGTACTGTATATACCTATACTACATAAAGAAAATTTTTGGAATTAGATCTAAAACATTTATGTGATGACTTAAAAATCTACATTTTAATTGGAAGGAGTATTCTATTTGTTATTTGTTGTGACTGAATTTTAGAGACCTTTGCTCTTTAAAAAATGCTTTTTCATGGGCTATAAGAGTATATGAAATATATCTTTTCTAATCTATAGGTAGTGCACTGTGTTTACTATGGCATCAGTGATCCCATCATTTATCTTCAAGGAGTTTTGCCCCTTGTACTACCTTCTCAATGCCATTCCTACAAAAATCCAAAAAGGATTTCGTTCCATTGTGGTTTACTTGACTACACTTGACACTAATGAGGACTATATAGCTGTTGGCAGCAGTATTGGCATGCTGTATTTGTACTGCAGGCATTTGAATCGGATGAAAAAATACAATTTTGAGGTAAGACCATATTTTAATATTTTTTTTATTGAAAATTTTTAAAAGTTTTTACAAATAAGGAGAAAAAAACAACAACAACCCTACCCAACCACCCCAACCCTCTCAGTCCATCCCCCCCACCTTCCCAGAGCTGAATATAGGCTTGATTAAAATTTCTAAAAATCTTAAAAAAAATTAAAAAAATATAAACCATTAATATATCTAAATACATTACCTAAGCTTATAAGATAATTAACAATAATATATATGTAAAAACAAAACAAAACATAGATATTAAAAAAAAGAGAAAAAAAATTACTTAAAAAGAAAGAATAAAAGAAAAGAAAGAAGAAAAGATATATATATATATAAAAAAGAAGTAAAATAAGATGAGATAAAAATAAAAAATATAAGGAAAGAGAAGAAAAAAAATACAATCTATAACCATATTTTAATATTGTCATAGCTCTGTCTTTTAGGATATTTGGTTAAGTTAGCATTTCAAAAATACAGTAGCTAAACACATAAGGTTCAAAATTCTTTTAACTAATTTTAACAAGATTAAAAATATTTATTTTGTAGTTATTGTACTCATTCTCTTTTTAGGAACTTGTATTTGATTTACATCCTAAAAAATACTTAAGGCAAAGATATTTTTTACTGTATAAATTTATGTTTTCATTCATAAGCTATACTGTTCATCACTATCACTTCATTTATATACCATTTTTCTTATAAACAATTGTTTCCAAAGTAAATGACAGAAATGGAATATATGCTGTACAAGTAGTCCTCAACTTACAACAGTTTGTTTAGTGACTGTTCAAAGTTACAACAGCACTGAAAAATGAGAGTTATGACCGTTTTTCACAGTTATGATCTTTGCAGCATCCCCATGATAATGTGATCAAAATTCAGATACTTGGTAACTGGTTCATATTTATGACGGTTGCATGTCTGGTGGTCACATGATCCCCTTTTGCGACCTTCCAACATGCAAAGTCAGTGGGAAAGCCAGATTCACTTAACTACTATGTTGCTTGTTAAATGCAGTGATTTACTTAACAACTATGGCAAGAAAAGTCATAAAATGGGATAAAACTCACTTAACAACAGAAATTGTGGGCTCCACAATTGTGACTACCTATATTTGGCTCAGCCAAGGAGGTTGATTTGGGGATAGGTGAATTTTATTTGTCCTCTTGTCGTGAATACGTGATATAGTGAGGGCTGGGAATGTTAAAATGATTCTTTAGTACATCAAGATTAATACATGTTCTGTGATTCTTTAAAACTCTGTAGCATTTGCTGCCTGGAAAACTAATGCTCCCAGAAAATAGTACTCGCTCTTTAAGTGGAAAACTAATTCAGATGGTTTTCATGATTGCTTTATTGTTATGCTGAGTATCTATAGCTATTTGCTACATAGCTGAGGACAGTGAAGTACATTGAAAACAGCTGGGAGAGTGCTGTGTTCATATACAAGTTGAAAACAATCTCTGCCCCCAATGAAGAAGCATTTTTTCTTCTAGTGCATCATACCTTTGTACTGTTGTCCCCAATTTGGGTCTGCGCCTGGTACCAAAACCGCTGAAGAACACCAGACATGAGGTGCAGGTTTTGTTTCCTTTTATTGAAGCGCTTCAGCAAGAGTGGTCCCAGCCAGTAAAATGTCAGAACCCAGAACAAAGGATTAAGAGAGCTTTATACAATTTCACTAAGCAGAAGGTGGAACAAGGCGGAATATATAAGAAATGTCATCTAATAAACATTTTAGTAATGAGCTAACAAATCATTCTTTTGGTCTCTAATCATCCTTATTCCTTAGTCTTGTCTAATGAATGCTCCAGGAGTTACCTAATACACATTCTGTTTGATCCAGGCCATCCCTATTTCTAACTTCTAACTGAGGTATGCAGGATATCTAACTCTTTGGTACTGTTTATCAGTTCTCTAACTACTGAGAATGGATACAAGTGTTATACGTGCATATTCTCTGTGAATAAATACTGTTTGTTCTTGCTCCACAAATATAGGCTTCCCGGTTTGTGTATGCCATAGCCTTGCTTTGTTTTAGCAGACAGCCCATCAGTAGAGTACAGGACTTCTCCTAATGGGAGAATAAAATCTTCAGTAGCATTAATACATTTTTAGGATACATTTTTTTAAAACCACCCAACTTTTCAGTGACAGGGCAATAGATATAGATATATAGAGTCTGTGTCTATGAGAGAGAGAGAGAGAGAGAGAGAGAGAGAGAGAGAGAGAGAGAGAGAGAGAGAGAGAGAGAGAACACTAAAGAACTAGAACAGTAGAGAATAGAAAAGGAAAATAATCATCCTATGGGAACATGGGAAAAGATATAAGAGCCCCTTGCAAAGGGATTTCCACAATCTGTTGTAGCCTAAAGCAGGGGTCCCTAACCCTCATCCATGGATCAGCATTGGGTCGCAGAATGCCAGAAACCAGTCCGCGTAAACAAGTAAAGCCCCATCCACAGGATGCAGAAAAACCTCTCTCCACAGAACTGGTCACTGGTGACCAAAAGGTTGGGGGGCCACTGGCCTAAAGCTCAGGAAAAGAGCCAGATCTTCAAGGTTCATTTAAAGGACAGCAGCTGTTTGAATCTTTGAAAGACTCAAGACATGCTTCTTGGATTCCATCAGATGACATTGTTTAATAGATGGGACCTGGAGCCAACCAACTCTGCTCTATCTTATATGATGGGAAGAAATAGCTGGAGAGAGATATCCCTCAAAGAACTAAACCTTAAATCTCTCTCCTCTTGTCAACAGTGACTGGTACTGGCCAGGGGGAAAATAAGATAATTATCATGACACTTGGGTCTCCCACTCCTAAATTCTTGATTGCTGTAGAAGGATACCATGAAAAATCTAGGATAGTTGCAAGTGTGATTAGTGTTGTCTCGGTGATATGCTTTAAACTAACTGAAAAGAGTCCAGATAATTTATTTCCTCCAGAACTTTTAGAAGCTGCAGCCAACCATTTTTCCAACAACACTCTTCCAGAATGGGAAGATTGGAGACAGCAAAAGTTGTCCAGATTGTTGGGCCCAGCAATGTTCTTTTGAGGAGGAAGTGTACCCCTGCCTTCTCTAAGTATTCTTTATGAGTATTAGTGTCTTCAAAAAGCTTTTAAATCATAATTACTGAACAAGTTTATAAAAAAGGAAATGTTTGCTTGTAAAATTGTATGAAGATTTAAAAGTTAAAACCAACACCTTAAATTGATAACAGTTTGCAATAAAAGCAATCCTTTCATTGTTCACAATGAACAATGTTCATATGTTCATATGTTCACAATTCTATTAATTAAAAACAAATAGTAGTAGCAGCAAGATAACGTAAAATCTTCGTCAACATTCAGCAGTAACACTTTTCAGATTTTGTAATATAACTAATGCAATTGTTCATCTGTATGGTGTTAAAAAATAAATCTGCTGCAGAAATGGAGAAGGGCCTTAAAATAAATTCATGACTAACTAAACAAACATCTTAGGACCAGCAATATAATGCCTAAAATTGCTGTACAATTTGTAGATATTTTTATCCATAATCTTCTCACTCTCACCCAAACAAAGAAGATGTGTGACAAAATCTCTGAGTCACTAACATGATGACAGCGTTCAGTTTTTATACTTTTAGTTTCATACCTCTTACTTAAATCGAGCTATTCACTTATTAGATCTACATTTTGAGATTCACTTTTTAATTCTTTCTTTTTACACAGATAGTATTTAAACCACCTCCAGGTCCTGATTTAAAAATAGTATCTTCTGACCTAAACAAGTAAAGTTTATTTCTTCATTTTATAATCATTTTGTTTTTGTTTTATCAGGGGAAGAATGAATCCATTACCGTTGTGAAACTCTTAAACTGCTTTGATGATCTTGTTGCAGTGGGAACAGTTTCAGGCAAGATTGCTATTTTTCAGCTAGTTTCTTCATTACCTGGGAGAAACAAACAAGTAAGGACCATATGTGAAATTTTTGCTAGTCAAGACTTATTCCAATTAAGTGTGTAATTCCTTAATTATGACATCTAAAAAAATCTATTTAGTGATTTCAAATACAATAGGTTTTTGAGTTTTCTCTCCTCTCCGCTTTTTTCCTCTCCTCTCTCCTCCCCTTCCTTCCTTTCTCCATTAGCATATTCAATGAACTTTCATGTATATGTTAAAACAAAATAGTCAAAGTGCAAAATACCAAGTTGTAAACTAGACTAATGAATCAATCCAATATATATTTCCTCTTTTTTCCCTTCATTCTTTTTTATACAGTGTATTGATACATGATGTCTTTATTTGCAGCTTCGGAGATTTAATGTGTCTGGTTTTCACAAAAGTAGCATTACAGCCTTGGCATGGAGTGCTAATGGAATGAAGTTATTTTCTGGGGATGACCGAGGAAAAATAGTTTATTCTGCTTTGGATTTAGATCAGGTAAATAGCTATTTGACTAAAACATTATTTTCCAAAATTTGAATCCTGGAATATAGATTCCTGCTGGATCAGATCAAGATGCATGTAGTCCAGCAACATCTTTCCTCACAGTGGCCACCCAACTGCCTCTGGGGAGCCATCAAGTAGGACATCTATTATTATGTCATAATTTTTAAGGAGATCCCATCTAAAATTTTAAGAAGAAGAAAGGAGTTTGCTTTTCTAGTAAATGAACTTAAAAAGAGAAAAATTCTATTCAGATGGGATATTCCGACTGGAATGGTGGTGAACTACCTGGGGACATGTCATAGACTTAATACTGTTTCTCAAGCAAAAGATTTTTATACTTCGGTCCTGGGGGTATGTGCATCGCCATCTATTAGGTCTCAACAAGTCCAGATTGAGGAGCAGAAGACAACTTGTGTAGCACATAACTCCAAAGAAAAGCAGCAACAGAAGAAGGTTAAGGAAGTTTCATATTCAGCGGTCTCTGAATCTCTGGGAGATGTTGGACTTACAAAGTCTTTGGAGCAATCTTCAAGGGTAGCTCTGGGAGAAGTTAGACCTACAAAGTCTTTGGAGCAATCTTCAAGGGTGGAATTGCTGCCTGAAATCGAAATTGGGAAATTTCAGCTTGAGGGGCACCAACAAGAGAGGAACGGGCAGAGGATAACTTGTACAACTTACAACTGTGAAGATCAACACAAGGAGGAATTTACTGAGGAAGTTTTACAGGTATCGGTCCCTGAGACTTGTGCAACATATAAATGTAAAGAAAAAGTAACATATAAATGTAAAGAGAAAGACCAACAGAAGAAGGAGGTTGAGGAAGTTTCACAGGTACTGATTCCTGAGCTGGTGGGTCAACCAGGACTTACAAACTCTTTGGAGCGATCTTCAAGGGCAGAATTCCACGCATTTTTTTCGATGCTTGCGGGCAAGAGAGACCAATATGGATTGTGCTTATAGTAGATGCAACTGGCTATTAGACAGAAGATTATGGATATTGAATGAAAATTTTAGATAAGAAGTTTGTGTTTATAGTGGGTGCAACTGGTTATTGGACAGAAAATTATGGACATTGAATGAGAACTTTAGACAAGAAGTTTACTATTGAGATTGTGGGAGAAGTAAAACTTATATCGTTTTTGGAAAATGTCTTATGTAATGTCTAAATATGTGTTTTGGGATAATAATATATTTCAGTTTTAAGTTTTAAACCTTTAATGATAATATTGTTTAAACCTGTGTTTTGAAGGGATTATAATTTGTTTATTTCAGTGAGGGGATTCTAATAAATTTGTGTTTCGAAGGGAGTATAATTTGTTTAAGTTTCAAGTAATGCTTAAATTTGGTTTTTAAATATTATTATTAATATTTCTAAGAGAAAATAATTTGCTTAATTAAATGTCTAGATTTGTTTAGGAAAGAAAGTAATGCTTAAATCTGTGTTTTTGGAGAAAGTTTATATAGAATGATGATTGTATTTAGATTTGTTTAGGATTTAAAAGTGTTTCAAGCTTTTAAATATTATTATTAATATTTTTAAGAGAAAATAATTTGTTTAACTAAATGTGTCTAGATTTGTTTAGGATTTTTAAGTTTTTTTTTTTTTTTTGGATAGGTGAGAAGATGATGAAGATTGAAGGAAATATGTATTTACTTTAAGTTTTCTAAGAGTATTTAGTTTTAATGGTACAACAAAGGTTTATATGTTTATCTTTTTGTATTAGGATAAAGAAAGAGGGAGAAATTAGATTTTACATTATAGCTATAGATATTCAAAGAAAGTAATGTTTAAATTTGCGTTTTTGGAGGGAGTTTATATAGAATGATGATTGTATTTAAATTTGTTTAGGTTTTAAAAGTGTTTTAAGTTTTTTTCTCAATTAAGCCTGTACTCAGCTCTGGGAAGTCTAGGGGAGGGTTTGGGAGGTTGGGGAGGAGGGGGGTGAGGTAGGGTTGGGGGGGGTATGGGAAGGGGATTTGTTTTTGTAAAAATTTAAAAATTTTCAATAATAATAAAAAAAAAAAGTAGGACATCTATTATTGAGATACATGTTTTTTTAAAAAGTTGAATAGTGTCTGATGGTGGTTCTGAGAGGCCATGCATCTCCTGACTAATAGGATAATGAGTAGTAAGTGGATATTGTTATCTTGTGGGCAGGAGGGAACATTTGGTCACCTTCAGGATGGTGACAGATGAATTATGTGAGTTGGATTCCAGTGGGTGCCAATCATATTGAAATCTGGTTATCTAACAGAGCATTCTGTGTCCATGTTCTGTCTTTCTAGGGTCTTTGCAATTCCAGTTTGATATTGGAAGAACCATCTTCAATTGTTCAGCTAGACTATAGCCAGAAAGTGTTGTTGATCTCCACTTTACAACGAACTGTAGTTTTTTATACTGAAGAAAAATCTGTCAAACAAGTGGGAACTCAGCCCAGAAAAAGGTAATTATCAAATTTTGGTTTGAAGGAAAGTCTGCATTTAAAACTCACAGGGATAAGATTTGAACTCTTGGATAGTCAAATAGTTTTCTTTAAAAATTTTAAAATTGTTATTTTTAAAAGGTGCATGATTTCAAGTACTATTTGTATTTAAAAGAGTGTGCTTAACTGAAAATATAAGATACTTTTAATTGTCATGAATTAGAATATGTCATTAGCCTATTGGGGCTGATGGGCACATTTGAAATTTCAAAAATATGTTGTGCTAGTCTTACAGAATGGTTGCTGGGGAATGTACTAATTCACAAATTAATAAATGTTACCACTTATAAAACTCTATAAACCAGAATAATCCTTCTTTCCCCCTTCTTGTATACTGAACTGAACTGAATTTGGCAAAGTGAACTTTTTAAAAAAACTTTCTATGAATGTTTATGGAATGCATTGAAAGATGATCCATATTTTGGAGAATGACACTTTGCTTCACAATATGCTAGTTTTTTTTATAACAATAATTTGTTTCACATAAAAAGTCAGTACATTGATACCAAAAGCAACACACTGAAAGTCTAATTAGTCCTTAGTATCCTGAATTATATACATCCACATTTGGTTTTTATGTTGTTATCTTAAACTGGATTAAAATCTTTTTGCCTTTTTCTAGTCCTCCTTCCCATTTGGGGAAATAGTCATTATCTGTATCTGAATAATTCTAAGCAATGGTTTCATTCTTTCCTAAAAATATTCTCATGATGGAGTTGCCAGTTTTCCTACGACACATTATACTCTTGACCATGGGAGCAACATTTAAAAGGGTAAAGGGGACTGTAAGAAAGTAGAAATAAAATATTTGGGGGGTGTTGTATAAAAATCAAGCCCTGAATACAAGCCCTGTATTTCATTTTCATGTCTTGCATAAGATTTACTGCAGTAATTTGTACAACAGTAACTTATAACCCAAGAATCATTACTTCATGGTAGCTGTTTGCAAATCTTTTGTCAGTTTAACTTTGGAGATTAACTATATCCAGCATTGATTGCTTCTTCCCCATTCCCAGTATGTTATCTGAACTGATCATTGTTTTGCTTTTACATTTTAGTACAGGCAGATTTGGTGCCTGTTTTATACCTGGGCTGTGTAAGCAAAGTGACCTAATGCTCTTTGCTGCAAGGCCTGGGATTCGCCTTTGGAAATCAGATGTTCATGGGACGGTTCAAGCCACATATCTTTTGAAAGATGTATTTGCTGCTGGAATGAAGCCTTTTGAATTATATCCTCGAGCGGATTCCTTTAACAAGAGCAGCTGTAATTTTCCAGAAAGACAGTTTGGACTCATTTCCTGCTTTTCCCAAGAAGGATGGGTATTGAGCTGGAATGAATATAGCATTTATGTGTTAGATACAGTAAACCAGGTAAGAAAGCCAAGTCAGAATGCAATGAATTTGTAATTAGTTTCTGAGATAGTTATATAATAGAAAGGAATAGTGTGAAAAATGTTTTGTGCAAAGATTTTGGCATGTGATTTACTGGAGGTTTTTTTATACAGTAACTTGATTTGAAGGAATAGATTGCACTGGGCTGTAGTATGCAAGGTGCATATGATTCTCAAACTAATTAATACACAATTTGCAATTATTTCCCTTAGACAATTAGATTATAAGCCTTTTTAAGACTTAATGTAGAGGAAGAATTTTCTGAATTTTCTCTGACTTTTTAAATCTTTGTACCCCCTCAGAATATATATTGTGTGTGTTTTCCTCAGGATTATGTTCCATGTATCCAATGAAATGAATGCAATACATGGAAATTAAAAACAGATTAAAGATGACAGTCTATGAGGCACCACATACTACTGTGTGATCTGCTGCTGCCACAGATTTTTTTTAATAGTTCATACACTTGGGAATGTATATGAAATCTCTTATTTTGGGAGGATACCAGAATTTGCAATTAAAAGGAAATATATTTAGTTTTGAAATAAAAAAGACCATAACAAATTTAGTGAATCTCAGACAATGTTTATCAGTTCCAAGTACGCAGATCTATATACAGATAATCCTGGATTAAAAAAAAACCAAACCATTTGTTCAGTGACCATTTGAAATTACAATGGTGCTGAATGAAGGGATTTCCAACCTATGCCCAAAGTTTCATGTGATTGTGACCCGGGGACTTGACAACCCATTTGCACTTAAACGATGGATTGCCAAGTACCCTGTGATCATAGGATCGCTATTTGCAGTCTTCCCTACTGTCTTTCCCAGAAGGTCAGTAGGGAAGCTGACAGGTAGGGTCACAAACCACTGCTGTCTATCTGATTCCTAGAGCTTGGCTTCTTGAAAATATAGGTAGTCCTCTAGTTACGAATGTAATGGAGCCTGCCCATTCTATTTGTAACTCGAGAATTTGTGGGAGTGAATCTCGTACCTTGAAAGAGATCACTCCCTGCTTTCTCCCACACATTTGCTAGTCAAATATGTGGGCGAATGCGTGGTTTGCTAAGTACACTTGAGGTATCTCAAGGTGGGGAAGGCCATGGGCCTAGTGATGGAACAGGTCCCCAAGGCTTCCCCAACCTTCTAAGATACCTCATGCTTCCCCCCTCCCCTTCCTACTGTGCAGGACTCACCTTGCAAAAATCTGTCTCCTCTGCCACAGTTTCTTTTTCTTTGAGGGAGAGTAGAGTTGGCTTGGAAATGCTTTTCGCGCTGATAATGGAAGCTCCTGGATACCATAATATCGTGCAAGTTCAAGCACCCATTCTCTGCAAAAGAGATCATGGCTCCTGGAAGTTTCCATTCTCTGGGGGGGGGGAGTGTTTGCTTCGTTTGCATGCCTATGGGATAAAGCGCGGAATTGGAGTTGATCAGGCACAGGAACCAATACCGTCCGTAGCCCAGGTGCGCTGCTCACTCATATGTGCAGGCCTTAGTTTGAGGGCAGGAAAGAAGCCTTCAATTGAACGCTGGGGAGGGGGAATCATAGCCACTCAGGTGTGATCACTCAAGCAAGTGATGGTGTGGATGATTATATACCATTAATTTCCCAAAAAATCACTGTATAAATAAAAATAAAAATTCTGAAATAGGAACTGTATTCTTAATGTAGTCCTATCATTTTTTTCACTTTCTTTGTTTTCACAGACCATGATTGGCAGTTTGGAAGGGTGTGGTGATATAGTATCTGTGTCCTGTACTGAAAATGAGATATTCCTTTTAAAGGGAGACAGAGATATCATTAGAATCTCAAGCAGGCCTGAAGGAGTGGTGTCAATAGGTTTGCATATTAAGTAGTACATATAGTATATATAAAATGATTGTGTCTTGAAAATTCTTGTTCTTGTATTCTTTCATTAAATTATTTTTATTAAAATATGTCTAACTCTGTGACATAGATAGGGACAGGGTACATACAAAAGAATGAAAATTTTTAAATAACTATAATATAAAAACTATATTAAAACAATACAAGCTATATTCAGTAAAACAGCTAAAAAATAGTCATTTCTTAAACCTAATATCAAATGCCAGAGGCAAGGGGCATGCATAAATCTCCATATGTATCTTATTATTAGGAAACAATTCTTCATTAACTATTGTTGCAGGTGACTAGAAATGGAGATGACTGCAAGAGACAATACTTATTGCCAGGCACTCTCCACTATTTATTTGATTTTCTCAGTAGTCAAATGACTTAGTCATTGGCACAAAGGAGAAAGGTTTTCTTACACTAAAACATGAATAGATTTTATTTTATTTTTTATATGGCTACCAATCTCATTGCAACTATTCCTTGATAATGTTGCCAGATCATATTAAATGTCACTAACAATTAGTTTTGGTGAAGGCAGAACAGTTTTAAGAAAATAAAGATTTTAACCTGATCTTTATATAAGATATTATAACACTAGAACGAGTTTGTCTACTGTTCATATTATATTAGTTCTTAGGTCTTACCTTTTTCTCTAGTCAATTTTTCATTACTATCATCATCGTAGGAAAAACATCAGATATTATGTAAATAATATAAATGATTCTCTTAGATCCAATATCCTTTTTTGGCAATAGCTAGGTGGATATTTCTAGGAAATGTATAAGTAATGTACTTTCCTTCATATTTTTTTACATCTATTGCTGTTAACACGACTAGCAAAGTTGTGAAAGATTAATTAATCCTTTTTAAAAGTACATCTTACAATAATGGAAACAGCAGAATCTATTAATAAACTATGTATGTTGTTGAAGAAGTACTCATTTGAGGAAGGTGATATCTCTAGCCACTCATTTTACACTAATTTTATTTTATAAACCATTCCTGTGTTTTCTTGTTCCTGTAAATTGTCATCTAATATTTATCAATTTGTCACATTTCAGATATAAATTCACAAGCTTGGACCAGCTTGGAATCCAATGTGAGCCCAAAATTAGAGAGGCCGCATTCAGTAATTGCTTCAGTCTCATGTGATCCCTCTCCAGAAGCAAATCCCAAATCAAGCAACTTCTCTTCACCCCAAACACCTAGTGACAAAAATGGCTTTGTAGGAAGAGCTGACCAGGAAGTAGCATTGATAGCACAGAAAATTCGCTCACAGAGCTTTGATGGACTAGGGGACTTGAGCACTGACCCAAGAAGAAGAGGCTACTCTGTAGTCAGTGAGTCAAGAAGCAGGAGCAGCTCTATGAATTCTGTGGACAGTGGCTCCAGTTCCTTGACCAATGGGGATCAAACATCATTAGAAACACAGAGAGTAGATCCACAAATTTCACAAAGGTTGAGCCTGATCAGCTCAGAAGATTTCAACCAGGAACTGATTATAAAACCAATCAAAGTGAAAAAGAAGAAAAAGAAAAAGCCAGGTAAATGCTTAGTGAGAAAAACTAATTACATTCTTAATTTTTTCCCCTTTTGTATGTAGCCTGTAAAATTCCACTCAGATCTAATAGAATGTTACAGAATTAATGAGTTATAAAATTAACACTAATTTTTACCATCCTTAATGAACATATCTCAGAATGAATTAGTTTATACATTTGTTATCATTAAGATAAGAGTTTTACCCAGTACCTTTGCTTTTTGGATCATGGCATATGGTGGTCAGGCTATTTTGATTCAGATTACACTTGTCATTTACACAGGTAATTCTGTCTTAATTGGATAGTAAATTTTACACCTGATCGGATTTTTTAGATTCCTGGCTTTAGCTGGCTTTCAGTGTCTATTGGTCCAAGGACCTCACAAATGAGTCAATATGTTTTTAAAGCAGAAGGATGAAATATGATGTTCCAATTTCAAATGTGGAATCAAGTATTGGATTTTATGTTTTATTCCTGGTGTTGGGAATGATTATAGCAGAAAGCAGCCTTTCTATAGCAATTCAGATATTCCAAAATGCTGCTTCTAATCCTAAAGCAGTCTTGGGTAGGTAGATTAATGATGTTGCTATTTTATAGTGCAGAGGAGGACATGGAACAAGGTGAGACAAATTTCCTACTTAATTTATGGCAAAAGAAAGTGCTTTTCTGATTCAGGGCTCAGTTTCTTAGGTACCACAATATATTAGTTACGTTTGTGCTAAAATTGCAATTGGGAATATCATGTTCAGTGACAAAATGCGTGTTCTCTTTATAAAAGAACTCAGGTTTAATTTCCAGCATCTTCAGCTAAATAAGCTTTAAAAAAAACAGAGTTGAAGAAGACTTTCTTGCCTGAAATCTTCAATAGCATTTCTACTTTAAAGTGACCATAAAATACTTCATGACATCCAATTCGGAGCCTTCCAGATTTATGAGATCACAACACCTAGTATTCCTAATCCAGAGTAACAGTTGCATACTCAAAGGGCACTACACTAAAGAAAACGTATTTCTGTTATTGCTAACATTCAAGTAGGCAGTTTAGTCTACAGGCTCACTTAGGGTAAAGTCAGAATGAAGTATAATTTCAAAATTTTAATTTGTACTTGTGGTGTTTGGCTCTTAATAAACTTCTCCTTTCCTTCCTTTAACTTCTCTTACCTCTCCATCTTTTCCAACTACATTTGAATTTAGAAAATGGCACCAGGAGAAATCCTACCTCTCTAGAAAGCACACCATCTTATGAACAGCAAGCCTTCGCTGATAGTCTTCAGATTCTAAATGTGAAATCATGCTCCATTAGTTCTAGCCTCCAAGGCAGCACCACAGACTGTTTAAGCATCTGTTCTGTGTTCAGTATGGATACACAAAATGATACTGAAGCATTCAGTGCCCTTCAGTCTCTGGAGTCGATAGTTGCTCTAACACCGGATGGCAGCCAGGAGGCACTAGAACTGCTAAAACTTTCTAATTGTAACAATGAAGATTTGTCACCTGTTACGAATTCCTGCTTGCTTCTTGTGGAAAACAAAATAGGTAATGATGATAGTGAACACAACCGGAACCTCCTGTCTGAAAAAATAGAAACCGGCCCAAAACGGATATTGCCAGATGAAGAGCATTTTCCTCTCCTATGTAAAACAAAGTGCACTTTAAATGAATTACATCTGCTGGATACTTCGGCTTCCCTAGAAGAGACCAACTCTGCAAAAGGGATATCTGTAAATAGGGACACTTCTTTTTACACCGATGAATTGTTTGTTCAGAGTGAAGTTGCTCAGGTAATGGAGCAGCAACCATCTTTACGATCCAGAGTCCCTGGAAATCCTCCTGAGCATTATCCTGCTGTTTCTGAAAAAGAAATAAATCCTCAAGAGAGGCTGCTACCTGGACAAGATTTCAAAGAAGGAATCATCACTGAACATGGCAGTGGATGGATGAGTAACTCTCACAGTGCTAGAGCTGAGAGATATGCATCAAGTGATGAAGAGGACATCTATGGGCATGGCTTGATTTATTCATCTTCTGAGACAAATGTGACAGAAATGGAAGTTTGCCATCTTCCGCGGGATAAAGTCAGGTCAAGTGTTGAGAAAGAGATGCTTTCAAAATCTGATCAGGTATGTTTTGGGGAATACCATTGTGACATGTCTGTCTAACTTGACTGCAAAGCACCTGCATTCACATTACCCTTTCCTTGCTGTGCTGAACACCCTTCCACAATGTTCTCTAAAGAGTCCTGCAGCCACAAGCATTGCTTTTGAAAAGAACCTGAAATATTTCAGGAGAAATAGGAAAGTCTTTCTTTATGAATTGTCTTTTTAAAGTACAATGAATGATTATATTATTTACATCTTTTCGTTCAGAGGGGGTTTTTTTTCAGCTGACAGGCACATTTGAAGTGTTGAAAGCATGTAGTGAAAGACCCATTTTTACTACAAGGCAATCTGGAAATGTGCCTTATACCCCCTCCAGAGTTATTCTTGCCTTTTTTTCTGAGTAGGGGGCACACATCCAAATGAAGTTCTATACTGCGGACATTATTTTATTTTTCAAGAATCCTAGAGAGAGCAAACTTTCTTGGAAATGATGATACTGGAGGCTGATACTTTACTATCATCTGTATCTATTTTACTGGCTCACTATTTAATTAAGGTTTTCAGAATTTTCTCCCAATCATTAAACTATATTCAGAACTTAGAATATTGTATAAGCTATGACTTTCTCCGGGGGTTGATGATAAACTTGGGAAATTCACACTGAATAAATTGAACACCCATTGCTAGAGATATTTAAACTGCCTGTTTTGCAACCATCACCCAATAATCTTTATTAAACATTAAAACATACAGTTGTCAAATGCGCTAAAACACAGCCCTTATCTCCTTTCAAGATTAAGCAGCTTCATATATCATGAAGTATATTATGCTTATTCTAACGTTTCAGTCTTTAGTTTGCAGAAAGTTGGATGGGATATGCAGGTCCTGGCTATGGAATACTGAGCCTAGTTGTCTCTGATAAATACATTTGGTGCTTGGATTACAAAGGTGGCCTGTATTGTAGTGCATTACCCAGTGCTGGGCTGCGTTGGCAGAAGTTTGAAGATAATGTCCAGCAGATGGCAGTCTCTCCTTCAGGTTAGTTAGATTTGCATTTTTAGCCTATTGTCCTAGGGTAGAAAAATGGTTTTGGTGCATTTGTTATTTGTTCAATTTATATGGGTATATCAAAATATTGTAGACTGCAGGAATGGATTTCAAACTATATTTTGTAGAAATGCCATTTTCAACTGTTTTTACCTCAGATTGCAGATATTTATTTGAATGTCCTCTTGGAAGACTTCTCATTGCTCACAAAGAGAAGTGAAGTAATAGAAAGATATATTCTAGTGTTTTTAATCAACAAAATATTCTGTAACATTCTGATTCCTGGTCCTGAAAATGGTGGAGTTACATATGTAAACTGCCTTTACACCTCCTTTTACACTAGATTGTTGTAGTTTTGACCTTGAGGTTTTTCCATCCCTTAAATCCATAACCAAAGCTAGGATATTATGTATATCAACTGTGTTTTTTTGTCCATGATCAATGAAGAATTAAATCAGGAGCAATCATTATAACATTTTATATTATGTTTCTTTCCTTTCTCTTCTCTGAGTAAATCTATTATGTCTCTGTCCCATCATTTTCTTCAGCTTTTAGGCTTTCCCTAATGACCCATGCCTGGCTAGTACTGTAGGTCTATTTTGTACTTCTTATTTGACAAATATTGTATCAATTTCTCTAATCACCAGTGTCAATGCTGTGGGATAGAGAAACTAATTAAGTCTCTTTCTTTTATGAGATGTCTGTCTTAGGTGATTGCTTGAACAAATTGTTCCCTATTTAGAAGTAGCTATTCATTCAACTACAATAGATACACTGATTCTGTTGTAGGATTACTACATTTCTGTAAAGATTGCTTGTTTCTAATCTTTACATTTTATTTTGCATGTAAAAAGAGAACCAATAGAGCAATGCTTTGGGTTTTCAGTTTAAAAGGCATGACATAAATGAAAAATGATTTGGAGGAGAAAGGAATACTACATGATTTATAGGTTACTTCTTCATATTCATTATCTTAGCCTTTCCCTGATGTTGAATTCTGGAAATAAGAATAACCATAGAGATGTCTTATTTGCAGTGGCTGTCCTGTAAAGAATACTTGCAGGATGATTTTATTCATTATCCTGACACTTGAGAAGAAAGCTTACCTTGAGTTGACATTTTTCATGCTTTGAGTGGGATTTTTAAAACTCTACAACTGCCTTGTGACTGTTCCTCTAAGAACCCTTATCTTGTATGCATTCTTCATAAATTGCTGCATTCCACATATATTGGGATGTCATTTCCATACTCCCGTCTCCTTGGTCCCACTGCCATGGTGGTCAGACCATCACCAGGTTGATGAAGACTGTCTTAGACTTTAAAATAGCTGCTACTAGCAAACGAGAAATTCATTAGACTTTTAAAAGTAATCTCTTGTGAATAATTTTATTTATATGAGGTTTCTTCATAGGGGCTCTTTTATGGAAGATTGAGCAAAAAACCAATAAAGCTTTTGCCTGTGGCAAAGTAACTATCAGAGGAAAACGTCACTGGTATGAGGCTTTACCTCAAGTAGCATTTGTATCCTTGAGTGATGACACAGCCTGGATAATCCGAACAAATGGTGATCTGTATTTACAGACAGGTACCTAAGCTAGTTTTTATTTTTCTTCTAGAATTATCTGCTTACTAAATTACATTCTGAGAGAATGCTTCAAAAATGAGTTGAGATTTTTCAGTAAAACGTCCCCAAGAAGCAAGGCAGACAGTTTTCCTAGAAAGAAGTTTTGTTTCCATTATGAATCTTCTCCTGCAATGGGTTGATTACACTGTGAAGTCCAGTTGCAACTCTGTTATATGATATGATGGCTAGATTATGCTCATTTGTACTAAGTACAACCTAAAAAGTTCTACGCAATTTTGTTACAATTTAATGCAAAAAATATTAATGCTAATAAAAGTGTTCCCTGAAAGAGAGTTTTGAAAACTTAAACCAAATAGAAATTATTAATTGCCCGATACTGTTTGTTTTAGCTATGTTAAATAGTTTTAGTTTAAAGTCCTTTGTGAGTTTGTTGGCTTGAAATTCAATCTTGCTGATCTACAGTGGAAGGAGTCCTTTAAAAATGTTTTGTCTGTCAAATGTTGAAGAGTACCGGTAAGAGCATCATTTATTTAGGAAAATGTTTTAAACTGCCTTAGTATTAAATAACAATACATAAAAATCAACGGTATTGAATCAAAATACTTGTCACACTATGCTATAAGATTCCCTCACCTAGTAGTAGACTGGCTTTTCAGACAACATACAAGTCTGCACACACAAAGGGAAATCAGCAAAATTTTCTTCCTTGCTTGCAGAAGCACACAGTTAACAGTGTTTCATTCTCAGCAAGCCTGGAACCACCAGCCATTGTATTCAGGCTGCTGTGTCATACTAACGGGCAAGCAAATACACGGAAGCATCTGTTTGTCTTCACAGTTTTCATATTTTGATGATATGTAATTCAGCAGTAGAAGGAGTTTTTGTCTGAGTGTGCAACCGTAGAAATAGGAATTATAAATAGTCAAAAATAACAAAAAAAGCTTCTTTCAACATGTAAAAAACAAGAAAAAGTGAAGGAAATGATTGGTCCATTAGTGGGTGGAAGTGGCAAGAAGGTGACAAGCAACAGGGAGAAAGCAGAACTATTTAACTCGTTTTTTGCATCTGTCTTTACACAAAGGGAAAAAACAGACCAACCTATCAAAAATAGTGCCATAACAAACAAAACAGAAACACAAGTTAAGATAGGCAAGAAAATGGTTAGGGAGCACCTGTCCAGCCTAGATGAGTTCAAATCGCCAGGACCAGATGGATTACACCCCAGAGTTCTCAAGGAACTGGCAGATGTGATATCGGAGCCACTTAACTATATTTTTCAAAGATCCTGGAACACAGGGGAACTACCAGAGGACTGGACAAGAGCTGATGTAGTTCCCATCCGCAAAAAAGGAAAAAAAATGGATCCAGGAAATTACAGACCTATCAGCCTGACCTCAATACCTGGGAAGATCCTGGAAAAGATAATCAAACAACGAATCAACGAACACATAGAGGCAAACAAAGTCATTACTAAAAGCCAACATGGGTTTGTCAAAAATAGATCATGCCAGACAAATCTTATTGCATTCTTTGACCAAGTGACAAAATTAGTGGATCAGAGGAATGCTGTGGACATAATTTACTTGGACTTCAGTAAGGCATTTGATAAAGTAGATCACAACCTACTACTTGACAAGATAGAAAAATGTGGAGTAGACAGAACCACCACCAGCTGGATCCGTAGCTGGCTGACCGGCCGTACTCAGCGAGTGGTCCTCAATGGAACTGCATCTATATGGAGGGAAGTGTGTAGTGGGGTGCCCCAGGGCTCTGTTCTGGGCCCAGTACTCTTCAACATCTTCATCAACGAATTGGATGAAGGGATAGATGGGGAACTCATCAAATTTGCAGATGACACCAAGCTGGCAGGAATAGCCAACACTCCAGAAGACAGGCTTCAGATACAGAAGGATCTGGACAGACTTGAACACTGGGCACTAACTAACAAAATGAAATTCAATGGTGAAAAAAGCAAGATTCTACATTTAGGCAAGAAAAACCAAATGCACAAGTACAGCATAGGTGGCACCATGCTCAATAGTAGTAACTGTGAGAGGGACCTCGGAGTCCTAGTAGACAATCACTTAAATATGAGCCAGCAGTGTGCTGCAGCTGCCAAAAAGGCCAACACAGTGCTAGGCTGCATTAACAGAGGGATAGAATCAAGATCACGTTAAGTATTAATACCACTCTTCAATGCCTTGGTAAGGCCACACTTGGAATACTGCATCCAGTTTTGGTCACCACGATGTAAAAAAGATGTTGAGACTCTAGAAAGAGTACAGAGAAGAGCAACAAAGATGATTAGGGGACTGGAGGCTAAAACATATAAGGAACGGTTGCTAGAATTGGGTATGTCTAGTTTAACGAAGAGAAGGACAAGGGGGATATGATAGCAGTATTCCAATATCTCAGGGGCTGCCATAAAGAAGAGGGAATCAAGCTATTTTCCAAAGCACCTGAAGGCAGGACAAGAAGCAATGGGTGGAAACTAATCAAGGAGAGAAGCAACCTAGAACTAAGGAGAAACTTCCTGACAGTTAGAACAATTAATCCGTGGAACAGCTTGCCTCCAGAAGCAGTAAATGCTCCAACACTGGAAGTTTTTAAGAAGAGACTGGACAGCCATTTGTCCAAAATGGTGTAGGGTTTCCTGCCCGAGCAGGGGGTTGGACTAGATGACCTCCAAGGTCCCTTCCAACTTTACTACTATTATTATTATTATTATTATTATTATTATTATTATTATTATTATTATTATTATTATTATTATTATTAAATAAATAGCCTTAGCTTCTATAGGGAAAGTAATACAAAGCTCTCTTTGTATTTAAGACCAGAATGACTTTTCTCTTATTGATTTAAAAAAATACTCTGGCATTTTTAGAATTTCCAAATATAGGTGTTTATTAGTTTGCCTTTACTTGTGTCCTTTATTATAATGAAAAATATAGCTCTAATGATTAAATAGCTGGCCTTTTTCTGTGAGCTAATTACTGGTTCTCACAGCAAGTATTTTGGTTTTTAATACAGTATGTTTTTGGCCTTAAGGAATTCTCAGATGTCTGGCCAACTATGCCTCCTCTCTCCCTGAGAAATTTAATCTTACTGTTGGAAGCTCTACCAAAGATTGCAATGAAATTTAGGAGGAGGGGATGATATATTTTGCCCCTGCTGTGGCAGTATATATGTGCTCCAGTAATTGTACAGGGTCTAATATTTGATCACATGCAGTGGCAAATTCAGTGGCAAAATATTTCCAGATCTTAGCCCACCCAAATATAAAATATTTTATTCCTGCTCCTTAGAAGTTTGTAACCTTGCTAATGGGAGTAGTATGTGTTGTTTTGCTGCTTTCTCTATATTGATTTAAAATTCTGATATAGATATAGATATAATGAGTGAATGCATTTGTATAGAAATACATTTGGTAAGTGTACTTTCAACAGTCCATAATATAACCAGATCTGGAGGGGAAATAAGCTGAAGAGGAACATAGGAATTTAAAATTAGGGCTATAAAAATATAGGCACTACATTTTAACCCTTGTCAAAGCCATGGTTCTTTGCTTGTAAATGGTAAATATAAAGGTATTAATTTTATCCTGCAGTACTTTTCAATTAGATTGATTCTCAAACAATCTTAAGTAACTGAATGAATTGGATAACAATTGAAAAGAATTATTGCTACACAGAGGATAGAAATATGTTAAAGGAAAATACTTTGGGTATAGGTCAAATACAATAATATCAAAAACAGAGGTAGTTCTATCTTTCTAAATAGATTATAAATTATATAGAAAGGAAATAAAACTAAACTCAGAAAGCAAACATTGTAAAGAAAAAAAAGTGACACGCTTATTGCTCTTCTGTATTTTACTTGAAGGCCTCAGCGTAGATCGTCCCTGTGCCAGGGCAGTAAAAGTAGACTGTCTATATCAACTATCACAGATTACAGCCAGAAATAATATAATTTGGGCATTAACGGAGCAACGTGTACTTCTCTTTCGTGAAGGTGTAAGCAGTTTGTGTCCTGAAGGAGAGCACTGGAAATGTGATATCATAAGGTAAACAGCCTCTGAACAGTAGGCATGTCCTGTAATAGTTCTTGATTTTGCAAGGACCAGTGTTTTCATCATCTTAGTTGCATGTGCTTAAACAACATATTGAATCACATGAGAAGAGAGTTTCCCAACCAGGACATCAGGCTTTATTGATTTTTTTTTTTAGATGGTAAATTTTTTGAAACTTGGTAAAAGAAGGAAAGAATGCCCATTAAGTTGTACAATTTATCATAACACCTTTTTTCATCATACACAATTGTTATTAGATCCTAATAATTAGAATTGCATACATAGTTTATACTTAACCTTCTAGATCCAGATAATTTTATTCATTCGTTTATTTAAAGAACTTATGTGCCTATCTCACACAAGGCTTCTATGTTGGCTCCCAACAACTAATAAAAAAAGTGGAATAAAAATAGAACAGCCCTTCTCACCAGGCATCAGACCAAAACAAATTCTTGAGCTGACTTAACCTCATCCTAACTCTGTGCTTGGAGGAAGAGCTGGGTCTTTAGACCTTCTGTGAATGATCAGTTCTGATCCAAAGAAAGCCAAAATCTGTTATCTGGTTAAGTTTTGCAAATTGTCCAGGATTGGCTGCTAACAGTTGTATAGTTGGTTATGCTATTAGCTCTTGTGAGACTTGAGCAGATTGATTAACTTTTTAGATTATATTTAAATTTAGTAGTATTTAATTTGCACTAAGTATTGTTTGGATATATTTAATATGAGCAGTGGCATGACCAAGTAATAATCATTGTTATAGTCCATTGATATTGGTGGAATGTAAGTTTCGATTTTCTTCAATAAAATTTATCTGCAAATATTAAGTTGTGTCCATTGGCTAAAGTAATATACCATACCAGTTTGAATTTAATATATTGAATTGTAAATAAATAGAATGGGAATGCAATGGGATTCCACTATGGGTGATATTTTTTGAAAAGAAGGAAATAATATTTTCTGTAAGCATGTTAATAAGCCCTGGCAACAGCCATCTGTGTTCTAATCATCTCTAGAATTGACAATTGCAATGTATTTTATGTCAGGCTGCCTTAGAAAACTGTCTGAAATCTACATGCAGGCTGCAGTAATCATTTTATGCTAATATCCATTAGTTCATATAACACTAGCTTTACAGTCAACGTTGGCTTCCAATAGGCTTCTAGGTACTGTTCAAATATATATTGGGATATATCCCCCTACCTCACCGAGATCCATATGGCACTCTCCCTAAAGAGATTTAAAAAGGCTATTAAAATTTAGCTTTTCTAACGAACTTTTAAATAGCATTAAATATATACAGTTTTAAAACTGTGGTTGATAGTGTAATAGGGACACAGCAATATTTGTGTTTGAATTTAATGACGTTATATTCAGTCTTGTAAATTGATAGAAGTACTTAAGGAATCGATTGTGTAAATATTGTAAAAAAAAAAATAAGTATTGCTTGCTTTTGCAGTGAAATACAAGGTCTAGAGCCAGTGTGTATTACTCTTGGAGACCAGCAGACCATCTGGATTTTAGATGTCCATGGGAACCTGTGGTTTAGAACTGGTGTTGTTTCAAAGAAACCACAAGGGGATGACAACCACTGGTGGCAAGTAGGCATTTCCTATTCTACTTCCAATATAAAGGGGGCTTATTTGGTGGTGAGGCTCAGATTTCTTACTTGCATTCCTGGTAATATCCTGGATTCAATCCCAGCCATAAGATGACAGAAAGTAGATTTGGGGAAGATCCATAAATGAAACCCTACCAGAGCTTGCCTTCCTAAGATAGTGATGAAATCATGCTACATTTACTAATTAAATCTAGATGTCCATTGGTTGTCTCGTTTCTCTGTTTTGTAGGAATACTATTTATAAATCTGTATTAGGTCTATAATCAGATTCTGGAGCTGGAGCTCTACTCCTGATATGAGAATTACCAAAAATGAGGGAAGGAAGTCTTGACATTCTACCAAGAGAAAAGTAGTAACATTCAACTGAACACTAAATTTAATTACTTTAATTGAATAATTCAAAGAGAAAACAAACAAGGAAAAGAAGACAATTCTGAGACAGAAAATAAACGTCATAATAATTTTAAAATTTATTTTACAAATTGTAAAGCAAAACGTGACCACATTCAGAATGATAACATTTATTTAGACATCATAGAAGAATACATATGTTAGAGTGCGGTAAGGATACTGAAAATAACAACAAAAACCATCAGTGTAATAATGTATTTATATTCTACCTTTCTGCTATATTCTGGCAAGCAATTAAGGCACCATATAAAAAAGGTAAAATCAAAACAGAAAAATGTAGAAATACAAATTAAAATAAGAAAGTACTGAAATTCTGTAACAAAGTCTGGTGAAAGAGGAGCATCTTTATGGCTTTACTTGCTTTATAGACTGCTTGCTGTTAATACAGCTTCCAGTTTGTTGAGCATTTATGGTATATCTTTTATTCTAAAGGGACTGTTAAATTTCCAAGCTATTGAATGTTTTTGTTAACACACCACATAGCTCACTGTAAAAACTATAACAGTTTTTACTATCCTACTTCCAAAGTGTGAAATTGAAATAAGTCACATGCAAGGCTTCCAGAACTCTGAATGATACATTTTTGCCTGCCTGTTCTCCTCCCATCAAAGTCAGAATTATAATATTATAATGCCCTTTGCAACATCTTACTGGCTAAGGTAAGATCTGCCTCCACCCTCCTATCCTTCCGCAAGAGGCTAAGAACCTGGCCCTGCCGGTTGGCCTAAGGACCAAATGGGGAGTTCCATGCTAGAGGTGCCTGCTGGATTGATAGCAGACTCCACCTCCCCCCCCCCCACACTCTGCTTTCCATCCATCCATCTTTTCAGTTATTATATTGATGTTCTTTTTCATTGTTTATTTTATTGTTCTATTATTTTATTTTTGCTCTATTCCTTTCGTTTCCCCCCCCCCTTTATTATTTTATTATTGTTAGAGTAGCCCCGTGCCAAGGTAGGCAACAAATTTAACAAATAAATAATAAAAAAATAGAATAATTGAAATTTTTTCTGATTCCATCTGAAGAAATAGATTGATGTTTCCTGAAAATCTGAAAGGCAATATGCTGTTGAAAAGAAGTTGTTCCTCTCGTTGGAGTTTTCCTGTGATGTAACAAGAGAGAGCTTAATGTGCTCTGAAACTAAATTCATCCTTTTATGTATTTTACTCTCCTAGGTAAGCATTACCGATTATGTTGTGTTTGACCAGAGCGGCCTTTTCCAGACAATAATCCATGCAACACAAACAGTAGCAACAGCAGCCCAGGCTCCTGTTGAGAAAGTGGCAGACAAACTGCGCACAACTTTCTGGTCACAACAACTTCAGTGTCAACCAAGCCTACTTGCAGTCAATAGCAGCGGTGTCTGGATTTCCTCTGGGAAGAATGAATTTCATGTAGCAAAGGGAAGCCTCATAGGCAAGTGCATTTTTTGTTGTTGAGGTTGCTTTTAAACTTAACCTGTTGGCATATGCATATCTAAGGTCATTTAGCAATGATTTGATTTCTATCAATTATTTCAAAGTAGAAAGTGTCTGAACACATTTATTTTGAATAGCAGTGGTTAATGTCTTGTCTGTTGTGTCAGTCCTGGGCATAATGCATGCTGCCAAGACATACATCAATTTGTGAATGAATCAGGCATGTGGGAATCGGCAAACATGTAGAACTTGGTTGTATCAAAGCCAAGCATGCAGAGCCTAATGCTTCTTTCCTGGCATATATTCCCATAGCCTAGTGTACAGTTTTGCCATCTGTTTTAAATTATTAACATTTGTATTATTTTGTTCCTCCAGAGACCTTCTAAGCAGCTTACAAAGAATGTCTAGGCAGACTTACTTTTTCTGGGTGCTGGCCAGACTCAGTCTTGCTTAGATTTAGTGAGGTCACTACATCATGTGCCTTCAAATCAAATACAATGTATGCATGGTGTGTTGAGTTTCCAGATTTTAAATAAAAGGATGTTTAAAAGATGTTAGTGGTATTTCAACTCACCTGAGACCCATTCTATATTTTATTTCAATGATATGTAGTTCAATTAATCTGCAGAAACTCTTTATATGTAAAAATGAAAAAAAGATAAATCTGCCTTATTTACAGTATGCTAAAATTGAACAAGTGCATTGTGGAATGTTTATATATCAAGCCAAATCCAACAGTTATGTAGAATGTATGCTGACATTCTAATATTCTATGTTGGTTTGGTACTGATAACAGCAATAGATATTAAAATCCTTGAAATTTAAAATATATTTCAGATACACCAGTAAAACTAAGTGTTGGATATCAGGTCTCAAGATTCATAGATGCACATATTAGAATATGAATTAATTTACTCAATATTTCCATACCACAGTAGGCAACCTTATTTCTTCCATATGTTTTGGCCAGTTTGACCCAAAACAAGAAATTGGGATGTGTGGAAAGAAAAACTGCCTGAGCAGATTGAAAGTACTTGCACTTCTTGCTCCCCCTCCTTCCCATGTCATCAAGATAACCAACTGCCAATCAAACAGAAGTATATTATAATCCAGAAAATGTCCTGTTTTAGATTACCTAAACAGATCTTAAATAGGTTAGATTGGGATAGGAAGCATTAGGAAGGCAAGATTATATAAAAGAAAGTGATAGGTCAAACTGAATTGCAAAGAATATCTTGTTTGGGTTTAGTGGACAGAGGGAATGGCCTTGAAGGGCAGGAGTAAGAGCTGTTATCTAGGTACCAGTCAGGTAAGAAAGACGTGGACCTGGACCAATAAAAGTAACATGAAATAATGTTTCAGACAAGTCCTTCCTAGTTCACAGGAACATAAGGTGAGGGAAGGGGAAGCAGATTCAGACTTAAAACATTGTTACTCTAGCTCAGGGGTCTTCAAACCTGCCCTTTTATGACTTGTGGACTTCAACTTCCAGAATTCCTCATGATGGCTGTGGAATTCTGTGGATTGAAGTCCACAAGTCATAAAAGGGCCAAGTTTGAAGACCCCTGCTCTAGCTGTTTTAGAACTAATCCTGCCATATATGGCATTGGTTGCTCCATGTGATCTATCTTGTTGGACTACCTCAGTTTGAATGGAATCTCTATTCTGAATGCTTAATAATAATAATAATAGTAGTAGTAGTAATAGTAGTAAAGTTGGAAGGGACCTTGGAGGTAATCTAGCCCAACCCCCTGCTCAGGCAGGAAACCCTATACCATTTTGGACAAATGGCTGTCCAGTTTCTTCTTAAAAACCTCCAGTGTTGGAGGATTCACCACTTCTGGAGGCAGGTTGTTCCACTGGTTAATTGTTCTGTCAGGAAGCTTCTCCTTAGTTCTAGGTTGCTTCTCTCCTTGATTAGTTTCCACCTGTTGCTTCTTGTCCTGCCTTCAGGCGCCTTGGAAAATAGCTTGACACCCTCTTCTTTGTGGAAGCCCCTGAGATATTGGAACACTGCTATCATGTCCCCCCTCGTCCTTCTCTTCATCAAACTAGACATACCCAATTTCAGCAACCGTTCCTTATATGTTTTAGCCTCCAGTCCCCTAATCATCTTTGTTGCTCTTCTCTGTACTCTTTCTAGAGTCTCAACATCTTTTTTACATCGTGGTGACCAAAACTGGATGCAGTATTCCAAGTGTGGCCTTAAGACATTGTAAAGTGGTATTAACACTTCACGTGATCTTGATTCTATCCCTCTGTTAATGCAGCCTAGCACTGTGTTGGCCTTTTTGGCAGCTGCAGCATACTGCTAGCTCATATTCAGGTGATTGTTCACTAGGACTCCGAGGTCCCTCTCACAGTTACTACTATTGAGCAAGGTACCCCCATACTATACCTGTGCATTTGGTTTTTCTTGCCTAAATGTAGAACCTTGCTTTTTTCTCCACTGAATTTCATTTTGTTAGATAGCGCCCAGTGTTCAAGTCTGTCCAGATCCTTCTGTATCTTAAGTCTGTCTTCTGGAGTGTTGGCTATTCCTGCCAGCTTGGTATCGTCTGCAAATTTGATGAGTTCCCCATCTATCCCCTCATCCAAATAGTTGATATAGATATTGAAGAGCACTGGGCCCAGAACAGAGCCCTGGGGCACCCCATTACACACTTCCCTCCAGGTAATTGTCATGGAGGGAATAAAATGAAAATTGAAACCAGGAATATAGAATAGGTTCTTTCAAATAAAAACTTAAAGAAAAAAATGGAATTCAGACATTACTTACTGCACGTGAGACAGGAGTTGTTTTTATATTTATGGTTTTTCTGTTTCCTTTGCAGGTACATATTGGAATAATGTTGTGCCTCGGGGCACTGCTTCAGCTACAAAATGGGCTTTTGTGTTAGCTTCTGCAGCTCCAACAAAAGAAGGTTAAAACAACTCTCTCTCTCTCTCTCTCTCTCTCTCTCTCTCTCTCTGTGTGTGTGTGTGTGTAAAATATGTTCATGCATTTCTACTAGACTAAAGAAACATATAAATTGATCTTTGCTACCATTTTGTTTATCCATAAAATAGTATTGGAACTGGGTAATTTAAGAACTTGTTTAGTTCTAAGTTAATTAGTACATAGCAAGAAGAAGGTGAATGCAAAATTGGAAATTCCTGCTCTTACTATGAACCTTTAACTTGCATTGTGATTTAAGAACTTATAAAGGTCATCCTTGCCAGTCCCTTTAAACCATTGCTTCACTACGAATCCATATATTACATTTAATAAATGATCAAGTAAAACTAGCTTGAGAATTTGTCATTTACTTTTTATGTCTTACTGCCTCCACATTTTAACTGCATAATCTTCATTCTCATGTTTTATAGATATATCAAGTTTTTATATTAGTATATTTTTCTCAGTGCTGCATAGCCTAAGATTATTCTCTTCACATTCAATGTTAACAGTTTTATTTTAGAACAGTGCCAATGTGTTATGATAATTAACTAATTTTATGTTTATTTCCTGAGTATTAAAAATAAAATAAATGCTTTTATACAAGGTAAACCATGGAATGAAACATTCACATATATTTTTATAAATTTAAAATAAATCCTCTCTTATGTGATCAACATCAGCAGTTTGTATTGACTCATGCTCTGCTTGTTGGTTTCCCAGAAACATCTTGTTATTATGGAAAACAGAATGCTAGGGTAAAACAGCCACTGATTTGAAAGAACAGGATTGTTTTTACAAATTTTAAAGAACTGTTTCTTAGCCTCAGGGTTTTTTTTTTAAAGAAAAATATGGAATATAGGAATAATTTTTAAATATCTTTTAGTTTTAATGTTTCCAAGGTTTATGTCTGTGAAGTGAATTAACTGCATTATGAAAGTACTAATGCTAATTATACTAATGCAATCTTAGAATGCAGATTTGGCTTTATGTACAAATACTAATTGATTTTTATAAAGGTTTCTAAAAAAAAATGGAATTTATAATAAAAACTTTGTCCTTCCTTCAGGAAGTTTCTTGTGGTTGTCCCAAAGTAGCAAGGACCTGTTTTGTGTTAGTGATCAGAATCCTCAGTTCCATCCTTCAACTGTTCAGCTCCCTTCTGATAGTGAAATGGTCTACTATTCAGCTTGCCGGGATGCAATATGGAGCTTGAATAATCTGGGACAGGTCTTCATAAGGACACTTTCACCAAATTGCCCAACAGGAATGCATTGGACCAAACTGGACCTTACTCAGTTAGGTAAATCTAATTGTAGTTTTAGAAGATTCTTAGCTGAAATGCAGATAATCAGATTCTTTCCTGTATATAATTGATAAGAGTTCACACACAGAATTGTTTTGATGTGTGAAATATAATGATAATAATTTAAATTGTTATGGGAAAAATAGGGGAAAGGTGTTGGATATATTTGGCACCCTGAGTTATTTGTAAAAATAATAAGAGTGGTGTAGAAATAAATAAATAAATAATAAGTAAAAATGTGGACAAATGGTCCCAGCAGTTTTTGAAATTCCTATCGTACTGGCTACAAACGAAGGATATAACAATGAACTAGACAACCGGTTATGTTGTAGAAGAGAATGATGAGTATTTTCAGGAAGCAGGATAACGATGTCACGGCAACAAATTATGATCTGCTGTTTTGAGTACCATTATTGAATTATTGTTTTTGTGCCTAAAGGATGTAGTTGAAATCTGATTATAACCTAAGCATCAGATGTCAAGGCTGGGTGCTGGGGTGAATAAATAAGTTGTTGACACTCTGTTGTAGCATAGACATGCACAGTTTTTATTTTTGTATCCTTTTTCAGTGTTTGTCACCGTCTCTTTCTCTGGTAGCCATTGGTCACTAAAACTCTCACTGGTTTAGGTAGAGGTGTTTTAAAATCCCAGTTGCACACTGGAGTGGAATTCTATGAATCATTGGGAAAGCCCCCAAAATGTAAAGATCGCCTATTACCTTCGACCTAGAAGAGTAGGGAGATAATGCAGGAAATAACACTGTTGAGTCAAATAAAGGTTCTGAATATCATTGCCCTAGGATTTCATCTCTAACACAGCAAGGTGTTTAATCATTATCACTGATTCAAGAAGGATCATCAAGCATCATAACTACTTTTAACATTGTTATTCACTG